CAGGTTGCAAAAGCAACAAAGGAAAACCTGAATATTTACAGGTAAAAAGTGCTCATGTGTGGCACACACACACACACACACGCACAGAAACACAAAGCTCACAGGGCAAACAAAAAAGAAGCAGCAGTTTGCCTTCAGTTTGAAACTCTTCCAAATTTTTTTTAACAAATATAGTGAAAACAGACACAGAGATTGTTACAATTTGTTCTTATGTTACTGAGCCAAATCCTTAAAGCTCAGCTGGCCTGTGAAGCACCAGTTCTCAGTAACTTGAAACTCCCATCAGTGTTATTCTAGCCCCTGAAGCCTAATTTCATTCTACAATGCATAATTGTGTTATGTGTAATACGTACACAGAATTATGTATCTGTATATGTGTGTACATAAAATTCTCTATGTATATGCTATACATTCATTCATATAAACATAGGGATCTATATACAGTAGTCCTCTACTTACGACCATTTAATTAGTGACCATTCAAAGTTACAAGGACACTGAAAAAAGTGAAGTTTGCAGACATGTATTTATGATCATTGCAGTATCCTGGGGTTATGTGATCACCATTTGCTACCGTCCCAGCTGGCTTCTGACAAGCAAAGTCAACTAGGTGAGCTGGATTCATTTAACGACCATGTGATTCATTTAACAGCTGTGGTGCTTCACTTAACAACCAAGGCAGAAGAGTGATAAAACTGGATGCGACTCACTTAACAACCATCTTGCTCAGCAATGGAAATTCCAGTCCCAATTGTGTCGTAAGTCAAGGACTAACTAACTGTGTCAATGTAAAGGTTAAAGATCCTGCTGTAAAAGCTGGAATGCTGTCAGTTCTGTTCCTTCCTTAGGCCTGTGTGGCGCAGCGGTTAGAGTGCAGTACTGCAAGCTACTTCTGCAGCCAACTGCTTACAATTTGGCAGATCAAATCTCACCACTCTCAAGGTTAAGTCAGCCTTCCATCCTTCCGAGGTGGATAAAATGAGGACCCAGATTGTTGGGGGCAATATGCTGACTCTGTACACTGCTTAGAGAGGGCTGTAAAGCACTATAAAGTGGTATATAAGTCTAAGTGCTATTTCTATAAGCTGGTTGGTGACAAAAAGCAAGGCCCAAACCATCTATTTAGCAATAGCAATAGCACTTAGACTTATATACAGATTCACAGTGCTTTACAGCCCTCTCTAAGTAGTATACAGAGTCAGCATATTGAACAAAACAATAAGACCTATAAGAACAAAACAATAAGACAATAAGACCTCAGAAGGATGGAAGGCTGTGTCAACCTTGAGCTGGTGAGGATCGAACTGCTGACAGTCAGCAGAATTAGCCTGCAATATTGCACTCTAACCATTGCATCATCATGGCTCTTTATCAATGCACAATGGACCAGGGTGATAGATGGCAGATTGTAACCAGCATGAGCTGTCACAGACTGTAACCTGAATGAACTGTCACTGAATGAAATAACTTGAATCCTATAGTGAATTGATTCAGACTGATTACAATGTCTGTGTACACAATCTGCCAAATAAGACTCAGGACCAACTAACCCAGGGGTGTCAAATTTGATTTCATTGAGGACTGCATCAGGGTTATGTTTGACTTCGAGGGGCTTGGGTGGGCATGGCCAGGGTGGGCATGGCCAGCTTGACATCACTCATATCAGGGACGCCTGTGGTGGCCCGAGAGTTCTGCCAGCAAAAACAGGTTCCTGAGCTCCGTTTTTGGCTGGGATGACCTGCAACACGCTGCCAGCAAAAACGGAGCACACGGCCCTTCCAAGTTCCATTTTTGCTGGCAGTGGCACCACAGGCCAGTCCTTTACTGTTTCCAGGGTGGCCCTGTGGGCCAGATCTAAGCACCCGGTGGGCTGGATCTGGCCCCCAGTCCTTGAGTTTAACCTATTGGAGCTGAACTAACCTATTGGAGTTGTACAATATTGGTAAATGTTGCACTAAGAAACTTTTCAGTTATGTTCTGTCTGAAAATATTTGTCTTGATCAAAATATAGCTAGGTAATCCTTAGCATTATAATGGCCCAGAAAGGCTATGGACAAATTCATTTTTCTTTGCTCAGAGTTCTGTGCATCCATGCTAACATTCTAACCACGTTATAATCTCTTCTACCTCATTTGGATAATTTAATAATTCTCTTTGAAAGACTAAATTGAAGAGAATTGTAAAACTATTTTTAACCATTTCAACTCTTAACTTTTTATATGGTCACTAAAGATAAAGTCATGCCCTTTATGTCAGCCCTATTTTACCATATTGTATCCGCAGCATTTTGATCTGTGTGTAGATTTTGCATGAGGTCAATGAAATGGAACAGTGGAGATGTGAGACTAAGAGTAAGACCGAAAACAGTACAGAGAAATTGAGGGACTGAGTTTCTGGTTTGGTGTACTGCATTTCAGTTAAGCATGATGTGGGCAAACCTCTGAGTCACAATGTATTTGTTGGGTTTATAGAACAGAATACACTTTTCATTTTATATATAGCACAAACTTCTTTCTAATGCACATGAACAGTGCACATATTTTCATTTGGCAGTTTTCCTATAAAACTCAAAAGACAAATAAAGCAACATAACCTATGGACTTGGCAAGCAGTTTCAATGGCATGACAACATTATCTGTAATGTATACAAGTGCAGAGTTTTGCATTTGCAGTCTGCCTGAAATCGGACACATTCAGTACAATATTACATTACAACCCATGAACTCTTCGGTTTTTCACATTCTTGGTATTTTTTATTCTAGATGAACTAGACATTATGAAATATTATTATACAAATTCATAATACTCTTATGCAAAAAGCTGTGTTATTTCCTGGAATATATAATCCAGTTTTTAATCCTTTGTTATAGATACATGCATGAAATGCAAAACGATTTTTTTTGTTTATCTTAGGCAGTCATAGTGCCAATCATAGTGAATAATTAAAAGTCCAAAAACTCCTTACTCCTTACATAAATAGTGAGCTTGTGGTATGAATGTGACTTTTCCTATCAATATCCAGAAGAAAATTATCTTGTATAATTCACTCAAATATCTTAACATTTACAGAAGTCCCAAATATGTCAAGTTTGGACTTCTTACTTAAAGAGAAATATGAGCTGATAGGTTGATTATTTTATACTCTATATTATTAGAATGTTGGTAGAAATTATTACTGTTCAAATAAAAATCTAAATGCTATATAAGATGTACAGTTAATATTCACTTTGTGATGTCAATGTAACTGCAGTCTTAAACTGCGGAACTCAGAAAAGAGGAAGGAGAATTGTGATGTTAAAACTTCCTTTCATCTGAATATTCTGCTATATTGAATCCAAATGAAATCATGAAATTTCTCAATTTTTGTTCAAAAGGATCAGAATTAGTCTAAACTAGAACTACAAAACAATGTGATTGAAAAGATGGATTGAAAAGTTGGACAGACATATTACTCACGAGAAACGAATGTTTTAAAGATGGTGAAAGAAACATGAGCAGAACTGACTACTCATCCAGTTTGGTTCAGGTTTCACTTAATTATTTATTAGTAAAATACCAGGAATAAAAGTTTTAATTATTTTATTCCATATTAATACTTTTCAAAGGAAATAAGAGACTCAGTTCACAATCTCAGGACACAGGTAGCAATATTTGGTATAGGTAGTCCTTCAGTTGGTATAGGTAGTCCTCAGGACACAGTATTTGGTATAGGTAGTCCTCAGGACACAGGTAGCAATATTTGGTATAGGTAGTCCTTCAGTTGCTGTGACCACTATTTGAAGTGCCTTATGGGATTGTGAAATGGATCTAGAAGAGATTTGAGACATACAATAGAACTGTAATGCAGTATAATTGTAATTCTTGGTTTCTTTAAGTATACACATCCTGTGCAGCAAGTTGTTAACCCAGATTCACAGGCAGTTCATTTATAGTACATTGCATTAATTTAAGTAGAAACTTGCAAAACGTATAGTTCTGAAGGCAACATTTCTCTAATCAAGGTTTCCTAGCTAAAAGCAATTAAAAGTGTTCTTTATCATCAAAGAAAAGTCATAAAAATATAGCCAAAAATAGCCAAAAAAGCACCCTTACTCTAAAAGCTCTATTTCTTAAAGGAAGTGCAGATCTTTCCAGAATATATTGAATCTTATGATCCCAAATGGCAAAATGACTTAGTATCAATTTCTCACTCTTGTATAAACTGCATTTAAATTTATTGGATCTTATTGAATCTATTGTCATGGTCTGGATTAAGTGCTGGATTAATTCCAATACGGTTAAAAAAGAGAGACCAAAAGAGAGAAGCGTGAATTTATGAGAAAATACATCTTTAGTGCACCCTACAAATGCAGCTTCTGTTTGTAGCTTTTATATGGTTTTGTCTGCAATCTAGTGAACATTGAATCAGATAGCACCAAAATCTGAGACAAAGAGGAATGCAAATTTTATAGCTATGTTTAGTAGAGTGGGGTGATGAAGCACTGCAAATAATAATAAATAATAAATAAATAAATAAATAATAATCTTACGAAAACTAACTTTCAAACTCTACTGGTAAACTACTGTCTCTTCTTACCAAAAGAAATGCTAATATTTTTACCAGAATTCGAAGAGTAGGATTCAGTAGGATGTACAGTTACAGTAGTTTCTAAGTATCTTTACTCATGTTAAACTGGTTCAGACTGGATATGTTTTAAGGATCTGTCAGCTACTTGACATGTGAAGGAGTACGCTGCATAATAAATTAGATTTACCAATTAATCGAATAGACTTTTATTCTTTAGTTAATGCTATAAAGTAAAGGAACACATGCAATTAAAATAGGAGCTGAAAATCTTCAGTTTCAATTTTTGTTAAATATGGGAAGAAAGTGTCAGAATAATTGCACAACTTTGATTTTTTTTTTTTGAAAAAAAAATAGAAACTGGTTCTTTTCCTATTCTCTGAAATGATTTTAAATGTATTAAGAGTATCCATTTATTTTCTTCCTTTTCCAACAGATGATTCAGTTCCTAAGAATGTCAGCAGGGTAAGTACTATAGCATTATGCCTCAGTTCTCGTTAAGTGACTGCTTGTTAGTTGAGGACTCTGCCTCTACATGTGGAAACCTTTAAGTCAGGGTAGTCAAACTCGTGGCTCATGGGCCGGATATATCACGTGCCCACACCCACACCCACTTTACCGAAGGGGGAAAAAGTCCCGATACGTCATATGACACAGCAATGATGACGTGAGTTTGACACCCCTGCTATAAGTCAATTTAAATGTCTCTGTTGTACTTGATGATGGTTGGTATATCATTCCCAACCCCCCCCCCCAAAAAAAAAAACAAGAAATAAAAAAACCACTTTCATCCAATTTTGTGTAATTTATCTGGGTTTGGAAATTACCGATTACATGATCTCTTTCAATATTTAAAGGCACAAAACTTCCCAAAGCTCCTGGAAGCAATTGTGGTCCCAAAAGGAGTGGCTCTGGGTTATTCGTCTCTTAACTTTTAATGTGCAGAACAATAGCAGAATTGAGATGGAAAGTATACACCCAGGCAATCCTTTCTCAATTCTCTAGTAGGAAGAAAATAGTTTGTTGGATAGACATGATTTATCCAATGTTATCAGGATCCAATTTGGGATTCCAAACTTTTGGACTCGTGCTGGAACCCATCTTCAGGAAATTTTTCTCTAGCCTAGAGAGACGTTTCCTGAAGATGGGCTCCAGCACAAATCCAAAAGCTTGGAAGACAAAACCTCTGGTGTCCGACCCAGGTTGTATCCTGCAATATTGTCTTGAGAACATATATTTTGCCTTCATTCATGATCGGTTCCTTTTTATTTTCTATGGAATGTAGGAGTCACTACTTTTAACCTATCCACATTTCCAAAATATAATAATTATATCTTTGTAGAAATACAGGAAGCTGCCTTAAATCAAATAAACATTTCAGTGAGTTCAGTATAGCATTATTTACTCCAATTGGTATAACCTTGTTAAAAAAATTGCATTGCCTTGCTTTGCCCTCTGATGCTGAGAATTGAATCTGGAAGAATTTGTATGCAGCGCATTCAACTATGACTAACTTGTACAGCTGGTTTCAGTATGAAAAAAAAAAAAAAGATTGAACTTGGAACTTCAGTCCATAGGAAATTGATATTGATAAACTGTCTAGAAAAATAGGCTCTTGTGATTCACCTTTCTCTTTTGTCTGAGCATTTAATGTTTTCTCAGCGGAACTTTTCATTTATAAAATAACTTATTTTTCTCATAAATGCCACATAATTATTTATTCATAGGATATTCTGAAATGTATCCTTATTTCCAATAGTACCACAATCCTGATATGGAATCAATGGTGTACGACCTAAACAACCATTTAGAGAAACGGACGGATATTGCAGGGAACAGTCAACTGCTCTTGTATGAATTGAGCGCCATCATTCAAACAGGTAGGAAAGTATGTTTTATATTTGGAACTAGAATCTATGCATCCGTTTGAGGAAGTTCATAGAATATCATCATAAAGCTTCACCTAAGGGGAAAATTATTGAAAGGCCTGAAGGGTACCATGGTCAATGGTACCGAAAACTACTAAGAGGTCCATGAGACCAAGGACCATGGCAGCATTCCCCATCCTGAGGAGGTTCCCTGTGGTGAGAGACACGGAAAGAACTAACAAGGTTAACAAGGAATGATCATTCCATGGCAGGGGACTGATAATACCCCCCCAAATCAGCAGTGGGTTCCTACCTGTTCTACTACTGGTTCGGTGATCGTGCTTGCGCACAGCTTTCCACACGCCAGCTGAGGCCTGCGGTGCCAATCAGCTGAGAGGAGAAAGGAGAGAAAGGTGCAGGGGCAGGTGGGAGGACCGATCCTGCGTTTTTCTCTACTTTCTCATCTCATCTGGTCATCCGAACCTTTTTTTTTTAGTAACAGTTTGGCTGAACTGGTGGGAATTTTTGCTACCAGTTGAGTTGATCTGGGCAGAACCAGTAGCATACCACTACTGCCCCAAATCCAGATCATGATGTCACTGCCCCAATCCAAACACCAGATCTAATGTGTGACCCTTGTGTGAGTTTGGCCTTGAATAAGTTGGACCAGATTCATGTCTACCGTGATGTTCACGAACACCCGTCTGACTCAGATCCCAGACCCACAGATAACGGATGACAGATAATCAGAGTTGGAAGGTCATCTAGTCCAACCCCTGCCGAAGTAGGAGACCCTACACCATTTGCAGATGGGAGGTTGAGCCTGGGGAACTCAGATTCAGCGTCCAGGAGCACACACTTTTCACACCGATGACCATTGCAGCATCCCTATGGTCAAATTCAGACTCTTGGCAATTGATACATATTGATGATGTTTGTAGTGTCTCAGGGTCATGTGATCACCTTTTGCCATCTTCTGACAAGCACATTCAATGGGGAAGCCAGATTCCCTTAACAACCATGTTACTCAGGTTGAGTCAGCCTTCCAGCCTTCTGAGGTGGGTAAAATGAGGACCAGATTGTTGGGGCAATATGCTAAACTGTTTAGAGAGGGCTATAAAGCAGTGGTTGCCAACCAGTGGGCCTGGGATCACTGGTGGTCCATGAGAAAATGTTGGTGGTCTGCAGAGAAATGTCTCCCCCAAAGCACTCCCCCCAAATCCAGGCTGCGCAGGAACACAAGGCTGTGCCACCCACATGGCCCACACACCTGCTGGCCCCCCACTCTTCAGCCGAGTGAAACCTTGAGTAGAGCCACATGAGCTGGAACTGGAAGGTAAGACCAATGGCGGGGGAGGGAAATCTGCCAAGGGTGGCTTGCTGATGTTGGTGGGAAAGTCGGTCCCATATTCCAGAGCTGCAGTAGTCACAGGACTGCCCCTTTGGTCATCCCAGAGTAGCTCCTCTAGTCCATGGCAGGCCAGTGCACCTGGGTGGAGGAGCAGCTGTTCTGGGATGACCAAAGGGCCAGTCCTGTGAGTACTGCAGCTCTGGAATAAGGGACGGACTTTCCCACCAATGTCAGGAAGCCATCGTCAGTCAAAATTCGTATTAGTGATCCGCGGGATTTAAAATTATGAGTATGGTCCCTGAGGCCTAAAAGGTTGGCGACCCCCTGCTATAAAGCACCGTGAAGCGGTATACAAGTCTAAGTGCTATTGCTATTACTAACTTAACAACTGCCATGCTTCACTTAAAAACTTAGCAAGAAAATAGGACAAAACTCAGCAACTCAATTAGTAAGTTAAGGAGTACCGGTATAACGTTTTATATTTATTGTGGATGTTTTATTATTTATAGCGTTATATGAATCACTGATGATTTTAATACTTTACCATCATGAGTCAACTGGAATTGATGGCATACAAGTTTATGAATCATTTGAATGAATAAAAAGTTAAAGTGAATTAAAGATACTGAATCTTATTACACTGTATAATCATGAAATCATTTTTATTTTCTTAATTTGGTACAAACTGATATACAATCTAATAGACTAATTGGAGGAATAGGATTCTGTTACATACAGAATAACATAATAATGATAATTTGCCTGATTGGTGTAATGATGGCATTTAATAAATGACACATATTATGTTACATTAAATTATTTGCATCAATTTATATAATTTATGTAATTATATAATTACATGAATGAATTGGGACAAAGAGTTACATACAAAGTTTAATGCATCCAGTTTTACTAAACTGAGGTTTCACTGTAGTGAAAAAAAATGTATGTGTGAAAACATAAACCTAATTTTTGACATAATCAATAGTTTGCATTTATCCTTTATATGTAGAAATCAGATGGTTTTAGATGAATATTTCCCGTTTTTCCTTATCTTTCCATTTTAAACACCTTTTAGTACAGTGCTGGTTATTAGATACTGTTGTTAAGGAATGGATGTTGTGTATTTATTCACTGAGTCTGTTTCCTGAGTGATTACATCAGAGTTAAGATTTCATTATTGATTATACTAATGAGGTAGCAATGACTTCTGGATCCAACGAAGTTGGAATTCAAAGCAGGAAATGAGCTGCAAGCTATTAACAGGAAGTAATGGGGTAAACGTGTCTGGAGCAACAAATTTGATTGGAAAATATTTTTCTTAAGTTGCTCTAGCATTCCACTTTTTTGGGTAGTACAGAATATAGGACTTGTATTTTTCAGTTTCTAGTGAGTAAATTATTTAATTACTAAAACATGTCACTATTTAGCTTACATAGATTTAAACATTTATTTTGTTTTAAAAGTAACTTTTCTCTTTAACAATTTTTGTGTGTAATTTTATTGACTACTTATTGATAATTAAACATTGATATTGATATTCCAATTTCATGGGATATATGAATGCAGGATTTATTTTTTTGTTATTTTACACAGTTCTTCTTGTTTAATGCTTTATATAGAGTTTTAATATTTAAAACATATACTTGGGCTAATAGGAAAGTACTCTGTTCAGAAATAGAACATACATCATTTTTTAACTTTTTAAAATGGTTGTTTTGGCAGCTACGAAGGCTGATGGGTTTGCATTATATTTCCTGGGAGAATGCAATAATGTAAGTATAAATGTGGAAAACTGTAATTTATAGAAATAATCTTCTTTCCAGGGTGTTTTGTATAATATGTTGCACGAAGTTTCACAGAGGATAACTATTCTAGGCCGCTTAGTTTCATAAAAACTGTAGTTGATGAATTAAACTATTGAAACAGTTTTCTTCTTTGTACACTTTTCAAACATCCTCTGCAATTATTTCTTTTAAAAATCTACCAAATTGTCATATTAAATCAATCTGTATTGCAGATGCAACTTGTTGTAAACTTACTTCTAGTCCTGGATCTAAAAGCAGCGTATGCATTATAAGCACTGACATACAGTACTGATAGGTTACAGCCGTGATGGCGAACCATAGGCACGCGTGGCGAAAGTGGCACGCAGAGCCATTTCTGCCGGCACGTGAGAGGTCGCCCAGAAGAGCCCCACTGCGCATGCATGCGTGCCCCCTGCCAGCCAGTTGATTGTTGGGTATCTGCCACGCATGTGTGGTGAGATGCGCACACATGTGCAGGGGGCGTGGCATATGCATGCACAGAGGTGCGCAGCATGGGGGGGGTTGCATGTGTATGTGCAGGGGGCAGGGGGGTTGCACACATTGCATCATGGGTGCAGGCACACAAGCGCATGCACATGAGCGCACTTTCGGCACGCGACATGGAAAAGGTTAGCCATCACTGGGTTATAGTGTGTTGGCTAACAAATAGTGCGGCCTCTTTTAGCTCTTCATCTTTGGGCTAAATTACTCTCTACTCATTGAAGAATCCAACCAAAGTATCTCCATCCCATGCTTTTTTTTAAATAGCTTCTACAGGAACATATCTCGAGAAGGAGATTCTCTGTTTGACTGAGTAATTGGCTCCATTGCCAAACTGTTGATGATATTCTGAAGTTGTATTTAATATTTACTTGGAATCTGCCTTCCTGTAAATTTAATTCTCCTCAAATTTTCCTATCACCATTAACACCCATATAATTAGCACTTCATGCTTTGGGTATGTACATGGGTAAATATTAGTTGATTCTTTGCACAAGACAGTGCCACCTAGAGATTTTTTAGTATTTATAGAATAGAATTGCAAATAACAGGGATTGTTAATATTTCTGGTGAATAAAATCAAAGGTACTAAGTGGAATTTCATATGCCCAATGTTCCTTTGGGGCATCTCCTTTCGACTAGACTCGCATGTACCCCTAAAAAATCACTTCTCAGAGACCATCTTTAGAATTTTGTATTACGATGGTTCTCATGTGAGGAAGAAGGTTCCAAAATTCCTTCAGACTAGGTTTCAGGAAGAAAAGCATATTTCAGTTGATGCAAATCATCTTTGGTTCCAAGTTAGAATCTGTTGTTTGTCTCCCAGAGCTTACTTGGTATAAACTAAACATATCATTTGTTTTAGGTGACCTAAAGTTCACTCCTTCTTACTTCAAGAATAAATAAAGCACACATAAGCATTCAAATATGATGCCAACTTTATCATAAGCCTATTAACAGATATTACCAATATAGAAGCATAATATTAAGCTGGTATGAAGTTTTATTCATGATAATACACTCTATTAGACTATCAGGCTGGGCCCATATATATTTCACCCATCTCAGGCATACTATCTACATCTTTTTCAGAAAAAGAGCTATGTGTGCTGGGTCATATACAGCAGTGGTTGCCAACTGGTGGTCCACAGAGAAATGTCACCCCCAAAGGAATTAATTCAGGCTGCGTGGGAACACAAGGCTGTGCCACCCACATAGCTCGCAGGAATGCTCTTCGCCCACTCACTCCTTACCTGGCAAACTTGCCTGCTAAGTTGCTATTTTTCCTTTCCCCACCCCAACCATCAGCTGTTCTGCTGTGCTGGGAGATTTAGATTAGCTAGAAAGCAGGAAATCGTTGCCTTTCTTGCTTTCTAGCTAATCTTTAGGTCTTCGGCTCTGCTTTTAAGCACAGCTGAACTTTCCTTAGGACTGAAGCTTCTATTATTCCATGCAGGTAGCCGATGGCAGAAAGATAGATCTCTGAATGAATCTGTGATTCTGTGAGCAACTCAATCTGCCTGCCTGCTTTGCCTGATTTTGGGTAAAAGTTGCTCTTTTTTTAATAAAAAAACCAATATTTACATAAATATTTATAATATTTACATACAAGCCATGCCCAGCCAGTCACATGACCACCAAGCCACACCCACAAATTAGGCCATGCCCACAGAACCAATTGTTAAGAAATTTGAATCCCACCCCTGCCTCTGTGTGTGTGTGTGCATGTGTGTGTGTGTGCGCGTGTGTGTGTGTGAGAGAGAGAGAGAGAGAGAGAGGGAGAGAAAGAGAGAGGGTAGATCAGATCCCTCTCTCTCTCCCACCAACATCAGCAAGCCTCCGTCAGTCAAAATTCATATTAGTGGTCCCCTGGATTTAAAATTATGAGTTTGGTGGTCCCTGAGGTCCAAAAGGTTGGCGATCCCTAATATACAGAATCAGTTTTTCCACAAGCCCTTTCTTTTTGCTGGATACAGAGAAGTTCTGTTCCTTTTAGAAAAAGCAGAAGTTGTATGCCAAAATTAAGGAAAGAAGATGATGATGATGATTTTCTCCCAAAGGCCAGGAGGATCTGAATGTTGTAGTCACATGGACCTATGCTACATAATTAGCAGGTTGCATTATGTATTTCTCCCCCAATTTTTGTAGAGAATCTAGCTTTGACTTTGAGAAGAAAGTAGGAGAGTATCTCTCACATCAGAATCAAGAAGAGGATGTAGGGTAAGACAAAGATAGGTAAAGGAACTATCAAACAGTTTTCCCTGAAGCAGATCCATATTATATAGACACAGAGGACTTTGGATATAGGAGTTGGAGATTTCTGCTTTTCGCAACAGAAGCTCAGCTAGGCTTTCCCTACGTGATCTCATAGTAATCAATATTGCAGGATCTGATCCAGGTTGGTCATCAGGACCAGAGGTTTAGTAGTCTGAGCTGTCGGATTTGGGCTGGAGCCCATCCTCCAGAAACTTCTATCTCACCGCACATTCTGGCACGTATATTTGCCTTCATTCATAATCAATATTGCATTAAATTATCATTTTCCTGACATGATTAATTACTTATCATTTCACTAGAATTATTTTATTTATATTGAACTATTTGAAACTCTCAGCATATTTCTGTTCAATACTTTTATGTATTGGCAATGAAATCTCTTTTCAATTATTCTTATAGACAAGCCTAGTAAATATAGAATTACATAATTTAAAAAACATTGTAACTTAATTGTGCATGACATGTGTTTAACCTATCCCCATAGACTAGAATCTTTGAAATTTTTTGTTGCTTAAACTAAGTATTGCTGGCAGGGGGAGTGAGGCAGCATGCTTTTCTGAGAGAATGCTCCATATTGGGTGATACCACCAAGAAGGCTACTGTTGGCCATTAGGCCATGATGCAAACTCATCATTAAAAATTACAAGCAAGATCTATTTTTCCTATTTCAAATATCAGGCCAGTACTTTACAACTGCCTTCAGTTGTATGACATAACATTGATTTATACATTGAATAAATGCTTATGGGGTGTATATAGGGTAGATTCATAAATAGGGATCCATAGGTTGGTGTGTAGTTGCATATTGAAGTTCTGGTAATAGAGAAAAAAGAAATGAATTCTGGGGAAAATGTACATTCTGAAGAAATGTATAAGTATAAATATGATTCAGGAAAAATATTCAGTTAGGTGGCAATAATGAATGGAGGTAATGAGACTGGAATGATAGAAAATGAGAAGAAGTACAGAAAAACTGAGTTAAAATTGAATCAGAATAGCGACTGTTGAATATCTGCTTAGAAAAAAGTCTGTTTTTTAACAATAGGTTCATGAGTCTACTCATGCATATACATGACAAAGAAATAATATAAACCTGAAATGCATGCTTGATTTGTTTGCTCAACATGAAATGCTGAGAGAAGTAGATAAGAGATTATGAATCCTGATCTTCCTACAGGTCTTAATTGAATACTCAGTAGTGGGGTTTTAAAATTGATTGACACAAGTATTCATTACCCAAAGCATATTTGCTAGTGTTCAGGTGTTGATCCTCAATATTGTAGGGGAAGAACTTATCTGATTTGCAATGTCTGTGGTGATATAAGTGAATTCAAATCTTTGGGATTCCCCCTGCCCCCTTTCATACGAGGTTTAAAGAATAGTACTGCCACTATTGCAGTGTTTTGTAACTACATAAAAATCAAGATCATTCAGGTGAAAGTGATTATAGACAAGCAACAAGCTAGCCTTCTTAATTGTAAGAGCACTGCAAGACATTTAGACAAATGCACTTTCATATTTTATTTATTTATTGTATTTGTTGACTGAGGGCCACTTCAATCACAAAGTGATTTTTGGTAGTTTACAGAGTAGGTAATGTACAAAACATGAGGTAAATAACATCAAGTAAATAAAACCAAACAAATACTCACTTAAAGAATACATTGGCTCACATGGGAGGAGGGGAGGGTTAGAGAATAATAGTACAGGTAGTCCTTGACTTACAATCATTTGTTTAGCATCCACTTGAAGCTATAATGGTACTGCAAAAAAGTGAGTTATAACTGATCCTTGCGCTTACTACCATTGCATCATTCCCATGGACACATCATCAACATTTCGGCACTTGGCAAATGGATGTGCCATTTACAATGGCTGCAGGTCATGTGATCATTGTTTGTGATCTTCCCAACCGGCATCTGATAAGCAAAATCAATGGAGGAAGCTGGATTTGCTTAAGAACTGCACGATTCACTTAACTGCTGCAGTGATTTTGCCATGGCAAAAACCTTGTAAAAGCAGGCATGACTCCCTTGGCAGCTGCTTTGTGTAGCAATGGAAATTCTGATCCTGTAAGTCTAGGGCTACCTCTACAAACAGATTTCCTACTGGATTACTAATGTGGAGCAAGCCAATTTTTCCTATCCTAGAGCCTGAAAAATACCTAAATTTTTATTATGGAAGCTCTAAAAGTACGTGGCATGATGGCCTAGTGGTGAAGACGTTCGCCTCCTACTCAGAAGATGGAGAGTTCAATCCTAGGTAGCAACCGATGTTTCTCCCCCCAGGGTGCAAAGAAAAAATATTTACTGAGAACTCTGCATGGCATCAGGAAGGGCATCTGGTTGGTAAACGCTCAGCTCCTTCCATACACCCTGACTACCCAAAATTAAGGGATTACAAGGTGCAAAAAGGGAGTTATGGAAGCTTTAAAAGGTGAGGACCAGATGAGTCCCAGGGCATGCAGTTGAGAAGGTGATAGTGATAGTGCTTTGTAGCTGTGACATGGTCAAGCAGAAGTCATAGAGATAGTCTGTCCCATAGGTAAATGGAATTATTTTTGGCGTACTGAATTTTAGAAGGCATCCTAGTGTATGGGGGAAGGTATTACTGATATGTGGCAATGTGTTGTGTTGTGGAGGGGGTGCCTGGATTACTATTGGGGCCTGTGGAATGCTCTGAGGAGCAGGAAGTCTCAGAACCAGATGCAGAGTAGGGCCCAGGCTCAGGCGGAGAAACAGCTGTTTTCAGGGCCTGAGCTGAGTGAGGGGGAGGAACAGCTGGGGCCTGTCCCAGATGTGTGTATGTGCAGAGAAGTGTGGAGAGGAGACCAACGCAGGACTGAGGCCCAGCTATCTGGAAAAAAAAAGAAATGTTAACAAGCCCCTGGCTGGGATATAAGGAGGAGGGGTGTGGGAGGGGTGGTTCATGCTCTAGAAGAGTTCGCTCCGGTGGATTCCTTCCCAGGATTTCCTTGCCACTATCCAGGTTGATCAGGATGCTTTTTGTTGGGATTGAAGCAGTGGTGGGATTCATTTATTTTTTTTACTACCGGTTACGTGGCTGTGGCTTGGTGGGTGTGGCAGGGGAGGGATACTGTAAAATCTCCAGTCAGAGGTGGCATTTGCCAGTTCTCCGAACTACTTAAAATTTCCTCTACTGGTTCTCCAGAACTGGTCAGAACCTGCTGAATATCACCTTGAAATGCTAATTGAGTCTCCCTGCAGGGAGACTGCTACGGCTTACGAATCACCTAAGGATGTGTGACCTGGAGCTCTGTCAGGGAATGCTGTGTATGCCTGCCTTTCTAAATAAAAAGGGGTTTCTCCTCATGAGTAGGCTATTGAGTGGGGTTCGTGAAGGCTGGGTCAGAACACAATGGAATTAGAAAGTATTACTTCACAGAAGGAGTAGTCGAGGTTTGGAACCAATTTCCATCAGCAGTTGAGTTTAATCATGCTTGGGATAAACATGTATCTATCATCTGCCAACATTTTAAAAATATATATAATAAAATAAAAAAAATAATTAATTAAATAAATAAAAAGAAAGCAAAAACCAAAACAAAAGCTTTTAAGGGCAGACTTGATGGACCACTGGATCTTTTTCTGCTGTCAGTTTTCTATGGATTCTATACAGGGTAGCTTATTTATATTTTAAGCTCTTTTTATTTTCTTCTTTCATATTTAAGTTCGCATGATGTTCTAATGAGTTTGATTATATAGACTTGAGGTAGGTACAAGCTGTGAGCTTTCTGATGGTCATTCATGACATATAGAATATTAATTATGAATTGGAATCTATGTAATAATGGATTGACTCACATAGCCAATCTTTACTGTTCATCAGGCTGCATGAGATCTACTTGAAACAAAACAATTTTTTGTCATATTTCTAGTGGCACAAACATTGAAAGTATGCTGATAGATTTTGCTTTTATATGTGTTTAATGATTTATTGTGGAAACAATTTAATTGGACTTTCTTTTTTTCCCTTTTGTTATTCAGAGTCTTTGCATGTTCACACCACCAAAAGTGAAGGATGGACAACCAGTACTTGTTCCTGTAGGACCAGTTAAATATGGCACCACAATTTCTGCTCACGTAGCCAAATCCAAGAAAACACTATTAATAGAAGATATTTTGGGGGTAAATTGTTATCTTCCTTAAAAATAATATTGGACAGACCATTAAAGAGTAGTTTAGTCGGGTAAAACAAGTCAGATGGAGTGACTTTTGGTATTGGTAGAAAGGAACTTTTCAAATATATTGAAGGGGAATGTTGGGAATGGGATGAAAAGCACGTCTACTGTGAAGGTTCTAAATATGTCTTAAGAAAATCAAGGTCTTCAAGCTAGAATTATTAATTTTTGGATAAAATTGATGTCTAAAAACTGATCTGTGCACAATGTCTATGGAGAATCTCAGTCATCTTGGTCATAGTTGTCCCAATATTGCTTTTTTCGAAAGGCAACTAGACTTTGTTTTTCCTTGAAGATGTTTCGCTTCTCAACCAAGAAGCTTCTCCAGTTCTGCAGAAGAAGCTTCTTGGGTTCTTCCACAGAATTTGGGTGATCCCAGCACAACTATTTTGTGAGAATCCCCACAATATGTTCTCAAAATTCTAAATATGGCCAGAATCAATTTACCTACTTCAGTTTGCCTATTCAAGCAGTCCTTATTTAACAACTGCAATTAGGTCTGGTAATTCAGTTGTTAAGTGAATCGGTTGCTAAGTGAAACAGCAACTGTGCTTATGACCTGTATAGGCTTTCCTTTGCTTTACAGAGCTGTGAAGGTTGTACAGGTGAGAATTGGTCATAAAGTTACATTTTCATTGTCATCGTAACTGCAGATGGTCACTAAATAATGCAGTCATTGAACAATGGCTACCTGTATCCAAATTCCCCAGTTTAATCTGCTTTTTTGTCATTCTGAATCTTTCTGCCTTTAATTCTACTTAGGTGCAATTCAGTAGTAGAACAATGCAATGGCTGTATATGGTCATCCAGGGATTCATACAGAAATGATTTTTCTAACCTGTATGGAGGTGTCAGGAATTTAAAACTTTTGCATGTCAAGAATCTTTTCCCTCCAAAATATGATGTTTTAGAAAAACAAAAACAACTTTAGTAATATCGATTACAGTGCCTAAATTCCAGAAACATTTTTTTGTTACATTATAACCAATGCAATTATGCTGCAGCTTCCATTTTTTGGGAAACCATAACTTTACTGAAAGTTTGGTAGCAAATGCTGTTTTATCAGCATGGAACAAAAGCGCATGCATTATTTGATAAATATGAATGCTGTATATACAAGAGTATCATTCAGTAAATAAAATTATATAGATGTAAAAACTAAGGGCTACTGTCAGAAGATGAAGGAGGAGAAATTCACTATAACTGATCAAGTCCATTGCAAAGAGTTAGGGTGGTTTAGAAAATGTGGAAAATAAATGTGATAAGTAAATAAATACAAATAAATAAATAAAATAATGTAGAATTTTCCCCATTCTTTTTTATGCATAAGAAAAGTGCTGAAAAGAAGTCACTGACCAATGCAGATACTTTAATTTGATAAAAAATAATAGATCAGGAAAGGTCCATATACTTCTCTATGCATCTTATCAACATAATGTACTCTGCACTTTATGATGGTGATGATGATGATTACAATTCTTTTGCCACAATTTAGCATCAAGTGTTTTTACATTAAATTATAATAATTATAATTGTTTAAATTACATGCATATTTTTTATTTTTTGGCGTGTTTATGTAGTGTATATTGGAGGTGGGGACTCTTTTGAGAGCTGTATGCAACAAAATTTCATTTAATGTATGCCGATTAGTATACATTTAAAGTGACAATAAAGTTATTCTAAGCTCTACTTTTCAGCATTGGACAGAATCTCTGGGAGAGAGAATCAGTGAATTTTTGCTTAAATATTTAGCTATCCTATAAATAAAGTTATTCTAAGTTCTACTTTTCTGCTTTTCAGCATTGGACAGAATCTCTGGGAGAGAATCAGTGAATTTTTGCTTAAATATTTAGCTACCTTAGCTTTTTAATAAAACTGTTTCATTATAAATGAACCAAATATTATATCATTAATATAAAACAGCACTTGCCTTTCTAGGATGAACGATTCCCCAAAGGAACTGGGCTTGAATCAGGAACTCGTATCAAGTCTGTACTTTGTTTGCCAATTGTGACCGTGCTTGGAGATTTAATTGGTATCCTGGAGCTTTATCGAAAATGGGGTAATGAAACTTTCCATCTCAGTCATCAAGAGGTAAATCTTAAATGTAGGAGTGAGCATGTTCATAGATAATTCCATGCAGCTAACATGTAGTTCTGTGGCTGGAAATTATATTGAGGATATTCAATTGCTAAATGAGACTACCAAGATACATTAAATCAGGAGTAAAGTTTTGTACAGTGGCATGATGAGCCTAAGACAATAGGTTGAACATCCTTCAATTGACCATACAGTTGCTATTGATCCTTAGCGCTTTTTGCAAAATCATCCTACTTAGCTTTAGCAATTGTGTCAATGCTGCAATCAGAAGAAAGTTTTCTTGATGGCCACGCCAAGATTATGAAATAGAAGTAAAGGGTCAGATAATGCCACGTGCTGACTTGAACCACCACCAATTGAGATCCAGTTGTCCCCTTGCCACAAATAATGTCCTAAGATGTGGCAGAATCTTACAAATGGCAGTGAGTGTTGCCATTGTTCAGTTTGGTGATATTTGTTTCTCTGGGCAGATTTTATCAATGACCAACCTTGCTTTCTCTTTAAAAGTGGATGACTGCCATTTCAATGACAGGTCTATGTTTAATACATGAAAAATCCAGAGCAAACCTCTTATGCTCAGTGCGAAGATTTTGGGACTATGTATTCTGTACAGAAGGACGCTGGCAACTCCATGGAGTAGAAAAACGCAATATTCCATAAGGAAATTATAATGCTAGATTTGTATATTTCTGGATTCAGTCTGAAGAAGGAGCACAACATTAATATCAGTCCATTGCACTTTTGTCCCTCTTCTATTTATTTATTTGATTTTTAACCCACTTTCATTATTTTCTTGTAAACAACTTAGAGCAACAAACATACCTAATACCCCTCCCTCTTCCTATTTTCCCCAGAACAACAACCTTATGAGTTGGGTTGAGCTAAGAGAGAATGACTGGCCCAAAGTCTGCCAGCCGGCTTTGTGTCTAAGGCAAGACTCACAGTCTCCATGTGACTCTTCCAAGCAGATTTTTTTTTTAATTGTTGCACACCTATGGACAGAATCTTGCCAAACCAAAGCAAGTAATGCATATACTCTGGGAAAATTAGGGGGGAGTTGTATTCACCCCTTTTCTCTCACACCAACTATCTGAACTGGGTTGTTTCTTGCTTCTCTAAAATGTATTCTCTCCCCCCTGGGAATTTGGACTACATTCCATCACGAAAGCTGATTCTGGCTTTAAATATCCTCTTTATATCCTCATTGCCATTTTATTTGTAGTGTCTTTGCCAGATACCTAGATGTATAATATAACCTGTATCTTAGCAAGGCACAGAATAAGATGGGATTCCTTAGGGAGAGCACTTTTTATCCAATATCTCCCTCCCTACTTCTCACATTAATAATGGAAGATTGCATAAGATCTATTGCAAAGCACTTATTTATAGTATTCCAAATAGTCAGAGTTTGCTGATGTGTCTCTTGGATTAGACTTGTAACTAGTTATAGGTATAGATAATACTGTAGGTCTTTTGGGGATAGTGTGGTAGCATCTGAGTTGCATTTCAAATAAAATAGGATAGGGTTAAACCAAGGTTTTTTTTATTTTTGCTTCCATTTCATTTTTTTACTTTTGGCTTTGGGTAACTTGGCATTTTAGAGGCAGTGTAATCATATCAGTGTCCATGGGCTCTCCATGGACACTGATATGATTAAGTACTGCTATCTTTCCACAAAGAGATGAAGACAAGGAGGTGGGAGCAGCTATTATCTTGCATTAAATGATCAACTATATTAAATGAAATAGTTTCATTTACATTTTTAATCCTACTATAGGAATTGCCTGTTTTGAATCTGGAATACTTTTGTTATAGGTAGGCGATGTTAAAGAGCATCAGAACATTTTCAGAAAGGTTGTAAGGCAGGAGGAGCGGGCAACTCTGGTCCCTTTATGACCTGTGGACTTCAACTCCCAGAATTCCTGAGCCACCCATAGATTGTAAAGGGGTCAGAGTTGCCCACCCCTGTTGTAGAGGATGTTTCAGACAAGATGACTCCCAAAGGTTTTGCACCCTTCTATAGTCTTTTATATAATGATATTTTAACATTATTGTTTTAATTCATGTTCTTATTTTAATTTTCTGCTAGATAACTCAAGTAGTATATTTGTCAAATAAATAAATATTGTAATATTGAATGGAAAAATTAATAACATAATTATTGTACCTAGATGTCATTTAAACGGATAAACCTTTTTACTAGATGTAAACCCTTCATTATTGCTTACATAACCCAAATATGGGTAAACTTTGCTAGAATTTTCAAAACACAAATTTTGTAATCTTCCAAGTAAACAAAAGTTTGTTTTTTTCAGATTGCAGCAGCAAACCTTTCATGGGTCTCAGTAGCAATGCATCAAGTAGAGGTAAGTCTCTGGATTAAATGTTAATTTTCCTAGGAAGAATAACTTAATTCTAAGGATATAAAATATTATTACTTTGTTCTGTAATATTTGGATATTGAAAAAAAGGACATTAAGTTAAAGGCCTTTCTTACCATTTAATAATTTCTTCTAATTTGAGATCAGTCTAGATCAGGTTTGCATTTTGAGCACTTTTCTGAAAAGAGAAGGCAGGTAGTAGTTTTCAGGTCAGTGCCATTTTTCAAATGTATGATTGGAGTTATTAGCATACATGTGTCCACAATTAACCTCAAATTGAAGTACAACATGCGTGAGGTTTGAATTTTATATATGTATTTCCCTGCTTTATTTTTTTTCTTAGCAAATCCTGGACAGGTAATAACTATGTTGGTAGACTCATTCTGATTCTGTTCTTCTGCTTAAATAAGCAATAGTCTTCCCAATATTTGCATCAGGTATCCAAGGGTTTGGCCAAACAGACTGAGCTGAATGACTTCCTGCTTGATGTATCAAAGTAAGTGACATGAAAGTGAGTCTCTACAGCAGGGTTGTAAAACTCGATTTCATTGAGGGCTTCATCAGGGTGATGTCTGACCTCGGGTGGCTGGGTTGGGTGTGGCCAGGGTGGGCATGGCCAGCTTGACATCACTCATATCAGGGGCACCTTTGGCGGCCCTTGTGCTCTGCCAGTGAAAACATGCTCCCGAGCTCTGTTTTCAGCTGTGGTGGCCTTCTCTAACCCTCTGCCAGTGAAAATGGAGTTTGGGAGAGCCGCACAAGGCTCTCGCGACCTCCATTTTCAGCTGAGACAGTCTCCAGCAACCCTCTGCCAGCAAAAACAGAGTTCCATTTTCACTGGCAGAGGCACCGCGAGCCGGTCCTTTGCCGTTTCCAGGGAGGCCCCGCGGGCCAGATCTAAGCACCCTGTGAGCTGGGTCTGGCCCATGGGCCTTGAATTTGACACCCCAGCTCTACCGCCATATTATGATTATTTTTACATAATTAATATAGATATATTTACTGTGTTTTTTTCATTGTTCTGGAAATTGGTTTAAGAGTATTCACTGTGCAGTTTCATATGATTTGAATAATGAAGGCTATTACAAGTAGTCATCATTTAGTGACTGTTCACAGTTATGATGATGTTGGAAAGGCAACCTTTGCAGGTCTGTAAAGCAAAGGGAAGCTAAAATAAGATCATAAACACAGCCATGGTTTCACATAGCTTTGATTAATGACCAAGTTGCCAATCGTAATTATTTTCACTAAATGAGGACCACCTATATACTCATAAATCATAAATGGAACAGGTCCATACGATCATTATTTTATAATATGCAGTATTATTACACCAATGTTGCATTTGTTATATTTATATCCTGCTTTCCACTAAAACAATATTCTATAATGCAGTCTACAACAGGGCCATCAAACTCACGGTCTGTTGGCCAGATGTATCACACACTGGCCATATGCCCACACCTGGTTTAGTGAAGGGAAAAAAAGTCATGATACATCACATGATGACGCCATGACGATGTGAGTTTGACACCCCTGGTCTACAATAAAGCTGAAACCTTGACACAGGTGCGGTAGGAAAGAGGACAGGACAGGAGGGGAGTAGAGGATTACGGTGCTACATGATATCACATTTCTCTTTGGAGCTCCGCAGCCACCAATACATTGCAGGATGCAGCAACTAATAGAAAGAAGGTGCTTTTCCTTCAGAAAGAAAGGACAGCCCAGATAAGAACTAAGTATAAAGTCCCAGCAAGCTGAAACACAACCTAAAAAGGTGCAAATGTTCTACACATGGGCCATTAACAGAGGGAGAAAAAGATAGATAGAATTGCAGAGGGAAGAAGACTGAACGGGTTTTGTAAGAAGAAAACTTGAATATATAGTCAATTCCATAATCAACGCTATAAGGCATAGTAATGATTATAGTAATAGTTACTGTAATAGTATAATATAGAGGAAATATTGTAATATTAATTGTAAAAATATAGAATGGGGATTAGAGGAAGTGGCCCATGCATGCATATATGTGTATGTGCGCACGCGTGCACACACACACACACACACACACACAGAGAGAGAGAGAAATCTTACTGAACATCACTTTTATAGAATATATTTATTTTTCAAAATAAAAAGTCTACACCCCTGTCCCCGCTTATAGGGAGATATAAAGAAACCGCTTGGTCCAGGATACAATGCTTTGTGTCTCTCTTGAGCCTGGGTTAATCTAATTTGGTAGGGTTTAAAAAAGAACCTGTAACACAGACACCATTTCAAACCAGGTATTCCAGATTCAAGAATTGGAGAAAGTTTATGCATTGAATTTTGTTCCTTAATCTGTATTTGGGTTGACTGTATCCACATTAGTTTTATTTAGGATTTTTTTCTGCATCCAGACAATGATGTCAGACACTACATCATCAGACAATGATGTCAAATACTGATTTAAAAAATGACCAATTTTCTTGAATAGGAAATAAATAGGAATAGAAAATAGGAATTAAATTGATAATTTAGGAATAGTTGCTCCTGAGCCTCTTGTTCTGTCAACCATGCAGCTGTGGACTGTGCTCCCTCTTATCTGATAGTTCCCTAGGCAGCTTCTCTTTCCCGGTCTCCCAAGGTCATTCCCACAAGCCATTACAGCAAGCCACTGGATCACCTGGATAGCCTCTGTAAGGAATATTCTAGGCATCTGCTGATAAAATTACATTCAAAGTTGGACAAGTGCTGTCAAGGTGATGGAACTTTAATCTGTTCATTGGGAGAAATACCAAATTCCCACTGGAACCTTACAGAGATTAGTAGTTGCCTTTGGTGTACCAATCTTATAGGTCTTTTATACGATTCATAACACCTTTCATTGTTAGAGATAACTTTTGGAGTCCAGTACCTAGAAAACTAGATCAGTAAGAAAACTTAAAATGTAAGTTTTCTGACATAGTTAAAAAAAAATCTGTTAAATTGATAAATTTAAAACAATATAGATCATGATAAAGTCTGAAAAGAATTTCATTACAATAAGAAATTTGTTTTTTTTTCCTTCTGCAGAACCTACTTTGATAACATAGTTGCAATAGATTCTCTACTTGAAAATATAATGGTAAGGTAACTTTTACTTAAATTTCAGTATTATTCAGGCCACAGAATCTTTGAAATGTAGTATATAGGGTTCAGAATTTTAAATTTTAACAAACAATATAAAACATATGTACAAGTTTTGCAGTAGTATGGAGAGTAGATGATTGTAGCCATGATTCTAGCCATGATTGTCACCTGCTCATTGAGCAAGAGTCATGAATTTAGGAGAGCCCCCAGAACTAGCGCATCTCCCTCCAAAACTAAAAATGATAAACAACTGGATCCTGAGGTTCCCTGCATCCATCTTACCAAAGTTCAGCTGAAGCCTGTTATCCCCCATCCAGACCTCAAAATCTTTCAGGCATTGTGAAAATGCAATTCTCTGCTGCAATTCTATGCAAACTGGGGTTTGGTGATCAGTATTGCGTCCTATAATTTTTGTGAAACCAGTAAATATTTGAAAGGTTGATTCCCAGTAGTAACACAATCAAATTCTTAAAATTTCACTATGTTGGCTTCATGTATTAATAACTGGGTTTTTACATGTATGTCCTTTGCAAGCTGTTTTGGATATTTATAATAAAAACTTGAAAATGTTTTCACTAATTCAAAGGGGGAAGAACAGCTAGGTAATTTTTAACAATGTGATTATGGACCTGATATCTAACTTTTGATGTAATGCTACCTGGAAAAAATGATGACAGTGCTATAAATCGGAGTCGCCAACTTTGTGGACCACCAAACTCATAATTTTAAATCCTGGGGATCACTAACCGGTTCTGTGGGCGTGGCCTAATTTGTGGGTGTGGCTTGGTAGGCATGTGACTGGCTTGTATGTAAATATTATAAATATTTATATAAATATAGATTTTTTTATAAAAAAGAGCAACTTTTACCCAAAATCAGGCAAAGCAGGCAGGCAGATTGAGTTGCTCACAGAATCACAGATTCACTTAGAGATCTGTGTTTCTGCCATCGGCTAGCTCAGTCTGCACTGTTTCAGTCCTAAGGAAGGTTCGGCCATCTAAAGATTAGCTAGAAAGCAAAAATATCCAACAATTTCCTGCTTTCTAGCTAATCTAAATCTCTCGACACAGCAGAACAGCTGATGGTCGGAAAAAGGAAAAATAGCAATTTAGCAGGCAAGTTTGCTGGGTAAGGAGTGAGTGGGCAGGGAGGGTTCCTGTGGGCCATGTGGGCGGCACAGCCTTGTTTTCCTGCACAGCCTGGATTAATTGCTTTGGGGGGAGTGCTCTGGGGGGGGCATTTCTCTGCGGTCCACCAAAACTTTCTCATGGCCCACCAGTGGTCCCCGGCCCACCAGTTGCAACCACTGCTATAAATAACAGTAGAGATAGCATGGTGAGATTCAAAGCAAAATAACATTTGTCTCTAAAATTATTTCATATGGTTCAAAATGAATCTGAAACACTTTGGAGTATCTTTCTCTATAACAACAAGCACTTGCCAACAGTATGCTTGGAAGAAACGCTATTTGAGCAGAGCTAAATGTTCATGAATTCTTTCTGTCTCAGGAAAAAAAGGGTTTTGCAAATTCTTCCTTTCCTTAGTAAACCCTTGTCCCATCAGCAGATAAATGCTAGTGAACTGGACTAGAAGACCTCCCAGGTCCCTTCCAGCTCTATTCTGATGCGTTGATTGATTGATTGAGTTCTCTTTAGGACTTCACAGAGATGGCATAGGAGGAAAGGAGAATTAACAAAACATGAAGAGGAGCTTTTGATGATTAAATGTGTATAACATGTATATCCTGCCATTTATTTAAATAAACTCTCAGCAGGAGACAACTTTAAAAACAAACAAAATACAAAATTTTAATATGTAGTGTAAAATTAGTATTAAATCCAATAATTAAAAGTGTAGCAACAGGAATGTATCCCTAGAGATCTTTAAATGCTTAAATAGTAGAGACTCAACGTTACATGTTGAACTGAACCTTTTATTTATTCTCTTACTAGTAACATTATATGTTAGAAGTAGCTTGACTATTTGTTTAAGTACATTATATAAAAACAGTGATCAATTGCTTTCTTTCAGCTTGCTTTTTCATTATATGAATGCATGTTATTGGGAAAGAAACATAATTTGGGCTAAATATGTATTTTTATCTGCACCATGCTTTTGGCAAAAAAGATTATCCCCATGTTTTCTATTAATAAACTAAAAATACACATGTTTAAATATCCTTTTGTTTCAACTTGTTATATTAGTTACTATAATGCAGTGAGTTAAACATTATCACCAGAAAAAAATACTTTGCATCTGTCATTTGAATCATTAAACATTTTAGTTAGATTAAAATTAACAACACCTGAAGTTTTTATATACTATATTTGTAAAGATTGAGAGGTTTTAAGAACCTCATCTTCCACGATTACAGACTGGTGAAGCCTGATCTTGGAGAAAATAATTTAATCAAAGTTAGTGGGTCTCTCAACATGAAATTGCAGGTAAGTAGAACATGTCTACAGTATATAACCATCTACCTAGCTCCATAAAAAAGACAGAAATTGTATATGTTTTGAGATTAATTATTCTTGGTATATAAGTATAAGACAATTCCGGCCTTGTTCCACGCCCACTTTGGTTAATCCAGCTTTACTCTTTGTAGATATATGCAAAAAACCTGGTGAATGCAGATCGCTGTGCACTCTTCCAGGTAGATCAGAAGAACAATGAGTTGTATTCAGACTTGTTTGATATTGGAGAAGTACATGAAGGGAAGCCTGTCTTCAGAAAGACCAAAGAAATAAGGTAAGAAGAGTAGTCTGTTTTTACAAGTTTCATACTTTAATTCAGCTTTTGTCTGTATTTACAGGTACTGTGACAGTTTTCATCATTCTATTTCATTCTCATTGAAGTTAGTTTTGTTATGTTTTGAAATAACAATTGGTGTTATCATAATTGTGTGCTTGAAATTATGATGACGCCTTCAGATTAATTTGTTTGTTTATTCAGTTTGTATGGCAACCCACTCAACAAGGATAGTGAATGAGCAAACTGAATGATAGATCATTCAGATAGAGTATTTGCTATTTATACATTATTCCAGTACCCAGTAAGGTTATAAATTTTACCCAGATTAATAAGAATATTCAAATAGTTAACTTTGGAAGTTATTGTCATGCTATTATCTTAATTTTTTTCTAAGAAATAAGAAACCTATCCAAGTTTATGGTATTAAAAAGGAGGTCTTCAGGGAAGGACCTACTCTTAATTTGTACTTGACTTCCTGCCTTACCTTTATAGAAAGGCAATATTGCTGTAGAACTCTTTAAGAGTTCCATCATTGAAGGAGACTTCAAAGAGCAACGAGCCATAGCAGAAATAAAAGCAACAAGCAAGCAATCACTTTAATTTTTCCATTCCTCTAAGTCAGGTTGGACAGTATGGGCAAAGAAGTATACAGTCCTGAAAGCTTTTTCTCAGGTTGGATAGACATGCTCCCAACTGTCAGCGTTGTATCAGTGCCATACACAGAATTTGATATTCTATATTTAGAACTCTGTAAGGGTGTTCTTTTCTCCTCTGAAGTGTCTATAAGTGGGATGGATCCTGGAACTGAAATAATGGGATTGAAATTATCTGTTCTAAACTATGTCTACATCTTTCCCAGGATAGTTCCAGCCTGTATTTTCCAGAAAATGGTGTTTATGTTTTAAGTGAAAGGGTTCATTAATTTCTTACATTTTCCTATCAATCTGATTCCTCTGCAAAACTCTTATCATACCTATCCACGCTGATTGATCACAAATCACCTGGATCAGATGGTTTGCATCTCAGGGTTCTGAAAGAGCTGGCATATCTGATCGGAGCCAGTGAATGTAATCTTTCAGAGATCCTGTAGCACAAGGAAACTACCAGAGGACTAAAAAAGAGCTGACATGGTACCAATCTACAAAAAGGGAAAAACATCAATCCAGGAAATTATAGACTAATCAGCTTGACACGAATACTTAGGAAAATCCTGGGAAAGATAATCAAGTGGAGAATTTGTAAGCACCTAGAAATGAATAAGGTGATTTATTTATTTTTATTTTTATTTTATTTTTATTTGTCAATTGCTTACAAATTCCTTACCTCTTAGGAAAGGGGTGAGGTCAATAGTAGACAGTCTAAGGTTAACGTTTTTAGGGTTTGGGGAAAAAAACCACAGAGTCAGGTAGAGTATTCCAGACATTGACCACTCTGTTGCTGAACTCGTATTTCCTGCAATCAAGTTTGGTGCGATTAACCTTGAGTTTGTATCTATTGTTTGCTCTAGTGTTATTATAGTTGAAGCTGAAGTATTTCATTGTTCATGATTACTATTCATTATTACTAATTATTAATTATTATTATTAATAATTATTATTACTATTAGTATTCATGATTACTAGAAGCCAGCATGGGTTTGTAAAAACAGATCATAACAGATAAACCTTATTGATTTATTTGATAAAGACCAGCAAAATGCTATGGACATAGTATACTTGGACTTCAGTAAGGCATTTATCAAAGTAGACCATAGCAGACTTCTTGATCAGATAAAAAAATGTGGGATAGACAGTACCACCATCAAATGGATTCACAATTGGTTAAGCAACTACACCCTGCTTGCAGTCCTTGATGGAACTACATTTACATGGAGTAGGATTTTGACTTGGGCCCAGTGCTCTTCAACATCTTCATAAATGATTTAGATGAGGGGATAGAAGGGAAATTCATCAGATTTGCAGATGACACCAAGCTGGGGGCAATTGCTAACAGTTTAGAAGATAGGATTCAGAAGGATCCTGACAGACTTGAGCATTGGGCCCTATACAGGTAGTCTTCAACTTACAACCGCAATTGAGCCCAAAATTTATGTTGCTAATGGAGACATTTAAGTGAGTTTTGCCCCATTTTATGCCCTTTCCTGTCACAGTTGTTAAGTGAATCACTGAAGTTGTTGTTAGTAACATGGTTGTTAAGGAAATCTGGCTTCCCCATTGACCTTACTTATCAGAAGATTGCCAAAGGTGATCACATGATTCTGGAACACTGCAATCATCATAAATGGAAGAGCACCTGGCGCAAAATGCAGCGGCCCGGATGGTTTTGTTCAGACCCTGGTGTGCACCTGTGCCACCTCTCCTGCAGGAGCTGCATTGGTTGCCGATTTGCTTCTGGGTGCAATTCAAGGTGCTGGTTGTCACCTTTAAAGCCCTTCATGGCTTGGGACTGGGTTATCTGAGGGAACGTCTCTTGCCGGTCACATCTACCTGACCCATTAGAGCGGGGAGGCAGGGAATGTTGTGGGTCCCATACCTGAGGGAGATTCACCTGGTGGGACCCAGTAGAAGGGCCTTCTCTGTGGTGGCTCCCTCTCTCTGGAATATTCCCCCTGAGATTAGAATGGCCCCCCACTCTAGCACTCTTTTGAAAGGCACTGAAGACCTGGTTTTGCCAGCAGGCCTGGGTAACCCAGAGTGGGATGGAGCCCATCAAATGCTGTTGTCAGGGCGAGGTTGGTGGGAGTTGGAGGGTGATTTTTTTTTCCAGATTTTGTTTTATTGTACTTTATTAATTTATTTGATTCTTTCTGTTAGTTTTTATTGTTTTTTTATTTTTTTATTTTTATTTTTTGTTTTAAATATGGGTTTACATTGTGTAAGCTACCTCAAGTCACCTTGGGCGAATAGGCAGCAATATAAATTAAATAAATATAAATAATATAAATATAAATATAAATATAAATATAAATAATATAAATATAAATATAAATAAAGTTAGTTTCCAAGCATCTGAATTTTGATCACATGACCATGGGGATGCTGCAATGATCATAAGTGTGAAAAACAGTCATAAGTCACTTTTTTCCAATAATTTTGAACGCTTACTAAATGAACTGATGTAAGTTGAGGACTACTTGTATAACAAGGGGCAGTTCATGGTGAGAAAAGTAAGACCCTGTATCTAGGCAGGAAAAACCAAATGCATAGGTTTAAAATACATGGTTCCCGGCTCAACAGTAGTAGCTGTGAGAGAGATCTAGGTATTGTAGTAGATAATCACTTAAGTATGTGCTGCAGCTGCCAAAAAAAGCCAATATAGTCCTGGGTTGCATCAACAGATGCAGATGGAGATGGAGAAATAGTTGTTTGCAGGGGTGGGATTCAAATTTTTTAACAATCGGTTCTGTGGGTATGGCTTAGTTGGTGGGTGTGGCTTGGTGGTCATGTGACTAAGTGAATGTGGCTTGGTGGTCATGTTATTGGCTGGGCGTGGCCAACTCAATATCACTCACATCGAGGCACTCCTCACCTGGCCTCTCAGGGGATGCTGCAACAGTTGTAAGTATGAAAAATGGTCATAAGTCACTTTTTTCAGTGCCATTGTAACTTTGAATGGTCACTCCACACAAGCAAAGTACCAGCAAAGGAGGGGGAAAAAACTCCACAGATGTTCCTGAGACAGGAAGTCTCGTCCTGCCAAGAATGTAATAAGGGTTAACGGAGAGGCAGTTTCTGTAAGCAACACCAGAATGTTTCCTTCCTGCCTTCCTTACAGGATCAGGCCAATAATTTCTTCTAACAACCGGTTCTCCGAACTGCTTAGAATGTTAACAACCGGTTCTAGCGAATAGGTGCGAACTGGTAGAATCCCACCCCTGGTTGTTTGGTAATAGAAATTGGTCCTGTGTGATTGCAAAGGCAATTTCTCAACATTGTGTACTATGATATTACTGATGGCATAGAAAACAATTTTCTCCATACTCTGAATAAGCAACGCATTTTCCATAACTGCCTCCTTAATTTCATAACATAGAATCATCTTCCACCAAATATAGCCTATCTTTTTAGTGATTCCAAAGTCTCTCTTATTTTCAAAATTCCTCTTGTCTAAGACTCTGTTCAGAGGGACTAAAACCAGAGAAGAGCAAATCCTTTGTATTTTCCCAGGGGATCAAATTAGTGTTACATTTTTGAGATTCCCCCACCCCCCTTAAATTCTACGTGGAAAATGTGCATTGACCGTGTCAATCCTCTTAGGAAACCTAGGAGCTTATTTAAGGCTTTCCACATCAGAGTCTAGGCAAAAGTGATATCCCTACCTACTGTTTCAACAGACTTTCAGTCTAAATAAAATCTGTGGAATCTGTTCAGGGAGGAGAAAACCTATTGGGTTCCCATGTGAGTATTTGGTCATTTCACAAGATGTTACAAATTTAGCACAACATCAGTGACACTACATTGTGCTGAATATTTTCCAGGAAACCTTTCGGGAATGAGGTGATTCATGAGGGCACCTGACTCAGGGAAAACATCATTCTTAAAATATCTTCATTACTATAAAAGTATTTTGGGAGCAGATTCTGCTACAGTGAGATGTTAATGATATTATTCCTTAGACTTTATTAATTTGTGTATAGGATACCTCACCTCTTAGGAAACAGCTCTAACTTTGCCTTTTGTCCAGAGGTGGTATTCAGCAGGTTCTGACCAGTTCTGGAGAACCGGTAGTGGAAATTTTGAGTAGTTCAGAGAACCGGCAAATACCACCTCTGACTAGAGATTATATAGCAGCGGTGGCTAACCTTTTTGGGCTCCTGTGCCAAAATTTGTGTGTGCACTTGCATGCTCGTGCTTGCATGCCAGCACCCAGAAGGCAATGTGCGCCCCCCCATGCCCCGTACAAATACCCGTGCAATCCCCACCCACCCATCCCGTCGCCCCCTTACCTGCACTGCACCTTACAGCTGATTTTTGGCCACTTTGAAGCCTTTTTTGGCCTCCCAGAGGCTTGAAGAAGTCTTCTGCAGGTTTTTCAGGCCAAAAACTAGGTCCGTTTCATCACTTCTGGTATCTCCAGAAAAACAGGAAGTGACAAAATGGGCCTAGTTTTCAGCCTGAAAAGTCTGCAGAAGCATGCAGAAGACTTCTTCAAGCCTCTGGGAGGCTGAAAAAGGATTCAAACCTGCCAAAAATCAGCTGTGAGGCACACACATGCAAAGTGAGGTAAGTTTGCCTGCAATTCATGTGCCGGCATAAATGGCTCTGCATGCCACCTGTGGCACGCGTGCCATAGGTTCGCCATCACATTTGTATAGTATCCTTCCCCTGCCATACCACCAAGTCACACCCACAGAACCGGTAGTAAAAAAAAAATTGAATCCCACCACTGCTTTTGTCCGTTTGTGAGATTCTATCTAGTGATGAATGGCGTGCATCAGTTACAAGTGTTACTGTTTCATATCAGCATATTGCTTTAATAGGACATATCTCTTTACATATATGCAGATTTTCTATTGAAAAAGGAATAGCTGGTCAGGTAGCAAGAACTGGTGAGGTCCTCAACATACCCGATGCCTATGCAGATCCACGTTTTAACAGGTAGGAATTCATTAGGCTTTCAGCACACATTTGCTATGCGTACAATATTTTATGCATTTTTATGCAGTTAATTTCTTAAATGATTTTAGTTCTTTCAAGTAAGACAAATTCTCTTCTCTCTCAGAGGCATTTCTTAGTTTTGGGATGGTATCTCAAACATGCTGTGATGTGCTCCTATTTACATATGGTATTTTTAGTGGCATAAATGTCTATGGAGATTTTCAATCATCTATGCCATGATTTTCCCAACGGGGCTTTTCAAAGGGAAGTGGACCTTCTTAGTTTTTCCTTGAAAATGTTCTGCTTCTCATCCAAGAAACTTCTTCAGTGCTCATTCTCAGAAGTGAAGAAGTTTCTTGGATGAGAAGCAAAATGTTTTCAAGCAAAAAAAAAAAAAAAAAAAGTAGTAGTCCAGTTGCCTTTTGGAAAGCACTTTTGGGACTCTGTGGCATAGATATATGTTCTGTTCCAGGCTAGGAGAGCAAATCAGCCATTTATCTTAGATTAAATTTTTTTTTAATCCATCCAATGTATTCGTAGTGCCATCCCAAGGTTAAGGAATGTCTTCTATACAGAACAGAAATTTATGGTAAGAATGTTTCTGCTATTTGCAGTGTATCCAGTTTCCAGAAGAAACATGGCTCAAACCAGGACTAACAATTCTGTTCTTCAAGCTTGAAGATAGGTATTTTTTTTTGTCTGATAGCAACATTTATAGCTTTCTCCCCTCATAGGTGTGAGTGCATTCAGTTCTGGAAATGTCCTGTCTATAGGATTAGATGGAAAAAGGCTAACAAGGGCTACTGTTGGAAGCAAGCTTTCCTCCTAGACACCCTCAGTTTTCCTTCCCTTAATCAAGGGAAGAAAGATTGGAGCTCTTGAAAGAAGCTGAGGGAAATACGTTAAAAGAAAGAGCATGCGTGCAAACCAGAAGTTTAAAAAAAAAATAAGTGGAGAGAAACATTTTAACATTCATATTTAACCACCATAATTTCCATACCATTTTTCATGCTGTGGAGCATTATTGATTTGGCTATTTCATCTCTCCCTTAATATTGGGAAATGCTGGATTTGAATTCAACTGGCCAAGAGTCTTTAAGCTCCTGCATAGAATTTCACCTTGTCTTCTCTTGTCCTTCAGTTTGGAGGCCCACACAAGTAAAAATCATGTGTGCTTTCGTGTCAGAGTCTATTCAGTACTTCTTGAATAGAATACTTCTTTAACATTTAATGAAGAGTTCGTTCATACCAAAAATTGAGATTGTAGACACCTGGGACAGCATTTGATAGTGATATAGAAGGTAGAGGAACATTCTTTTTATCCCACTTCAGGCCTTAAAGGAATAATAGAAAGAAAAAAGGCATAGATTTTTTTCCCCACAGAATTCCTCTTTATTTGGTTATTGTATTATTTTCTTTCAGAATCAACATTCTGTTATTTCTAGAGACTTAAGAACCAGACATCAAGTCTTAATCATTATGCAGCAAAATGCCCTTCTTATGCTTCTGAACTGTGCTTCATCATTGTGTCAAAGTTTTGAGCATTGCAGTGTAGCACTGATAGCAATGCCAGGTTCAAAAATATATATGTGAATAACACCATCTATGTCCCAAAAACTTACCAAATCTGAGTTTGGAATTTTTGAAAGTGAAACTTTGTGATGATATTTCATAGACTGATCCTTCATTTCTGAGCCATAATAATAAGACTATGTTTTCTTAGCTTGCCACAATGCTGTGAAGAAATTTCTCACCTAAATTCTGATGACAATTGGTGGCAAATTTAACTCTTCCATCAGTATGTGAAGAACACAGTTTGCAGAAACCTTCAGATATTGAAGAATGTCAATAATGCAGATCTCAGATGCTGATGAATGTCAATAATGTGACTCATAGCTTGACAGAAATTTCCATTTCAATGATCTGCCACTTGCCTTCCATCAGTTCATCAACAATAGTCTTGTATTCTTTTACATAGAACATCTCCGAAAAAGAGGGATTCTATATAGAAGGGACTGAAATTCTAACCCAAACTTTTAAACTAATCTGCTCTCATTTTCATCTGGAATCCTGATAAACAAATTGTCTATAGTCATAGTTCTTTGGGAATTATAATACAGAATATTTTATCAACTTCTAGAGGAAATCATGGCTTATTCCTTCAGATATCCTGAAGGTAATTAAATATGTGGTGTATTATCCTGTTTTTTGTTTTTGACATCCATTCGTGAATGTCCTCATGCCTGTAAGGGGAGAAAAAGAAATTCTTATGTACTGAATTTCAGTTCTTCTCATAGGCAGAAAATCATTTTGCCCAACCTGTGAGACAATCCTGATCCTCCCTAACCACTGATACTATTGATCGAGGTGGCCAGTTCTTCTATTTTAGCAAGCAACTTATTTTTTTTTTTTAAATTTTGTTGATTTGCCTATTATAATCTCCTACCTTGGCATTTACCTTGGAGATCTAAAGAAGTCCTACCTCCTTAGGAAATGCTTCCTAGCCTTGCCTATTCAGCATCAGAGGCTGGACTTTTTCTGAACTAAATGCCCTCCCACAAGAGCAACATTTTCAGGTAAGAATTTCTTTTTTCCAACATTGGATATAAAATTGGAACCTTGATCAAAGTTAGAGAGCATATTTACCTAAGAACAGGAAGTGTCCATAGATATCATTTTGAGACAGAGATTGTTTAAAAGAAACAGCTGTTTCCTTTAATGTAAATAATCTCCAGCTACCAATTAAAAAGAAAATATATGTATAGTTTTGTATTAAAACTGATGTATGTTTGCTGAAAATTGTTTTCTTTGTAAACTATTGTGGGAATTATACTGTCCTTTTAAAATATTGTTACCAGGAGAATAAATGCTAATTAATTGATTTTTGAAAAGCCCATACATTTGTAAATGAAAAACATATTCATAATATACAGCTAATGAGGTGGTTAAATCATAGGCTTTGAAATCTTTGAGGTATATTACATTTAACTTTTACTTAAGCTTGCCAATTTGTCATATGTATGCTCCATGTCTAATAGATTCATAAAACTGCACAGAATGTGGTTTTCTACACAGAATGTAGTTTCTCATTAGGATAAGCCACTTATTTACACCACTGCTTTGGCTTAATGAGTTATATTATTATTTTTCACCAACACTTCCTCAAGTCAACTGCATCCCTAAGTGCCAGGGACAAATTAATATGTGTGTCCCATGCACCAATGGAGTTATTTATTAATTGGAAAATTTCTGTGGTGAAGTATACATTAGAATGTTTCTGGATCAAATCAAAGCTGATCCTAGAGTGACTTTAGATATTGTTTCTGATTTAATCCCTGTTGAAATACAGAAATACTGTTGGCTTTGCAAGTTTGTTGTGTGTATTTTAACAAATTAATGTATATGAATTAGTATGAATAGGAGTAGAGGAATCCTAACATTCGTGTGTTCTAAAATGGTGGGGACAGTTTTGTTTGCTTTCCTTCTCATGTTTTTTTTTTTCAATTCTCTTTACTTTCCTACAACTGGGAAAATATTGCTACCAGGGCCAGCCTCCTCTACTGACTTTTGGAAAGAGGTATTATGATGAAAAGTAAGGAGTGGGGCATTAGAGCCACTGGATTAGCAACTGGTGATAAAGATTTATGCTGGCGTCTAAGGACAGCCTTTCTTTCATGAAGGAAGGTTGACTGCACATACCCATCTATGTGACTTCCCAAGGGGCATTGCATTACTCACTAAAAAATGTTCAGTACTATTGTTAATAAAATGGATGCCTTATTATGAAACGAATGACTGGTTTTCCTTTTCTTATTCTGTTCTCACTTTCTATTTTCTAGGGAGGTAGATCTCTACACAGGCTATACAACAAGGAACATTTTATGCATGCCTATTGTGAGTAGAGGAAGTGTCATAGGTGTCGTGCAGATGGTGAATAAACTAACTGGAAGTGCCTTTTCTAAAACCGATGAGAACAACTTTAAAATGTTTGCAGTCTTTTGTGCTTTGGCATTACACTGTGCTAATGTAAGTTTTGTTCTAGAAAAATATCAAGGTGAACCAAAATAACATTATTTTTAATACAATATATTGACAACTAATAATTAGTACATAGAGTGATGACAATACTAAACTGATTCTGATGTTGTGGGATTGTTTGTATTAAGTTCTTGATTTAAAATATTTAAACATTTTTGTTTCTTTGAGGAGGATAATGATGATGATGATGATGTGCCAATGAGATAGTGTTGACTCTTAGTTATCAATCAATTTTCTCCAGGATTATTTATCTCAAACCTAGTTATTCAAGTCTTGAATATCTCTTAACTGTTATAGACTTCTATGGGGAGTTAGGTGTAACAATGATTAGGTGTTCACATAAAAGTACACAGAGTATGATACAGTGGAACCTTGGGTCACGAATGCTTCTGACCATGACCAAATCGGGTGCCGACCAAAAAATCCACAAAATGTTCAAATTTGGTTGCGAACGCATCCTCAGGGATGATCAAATACAGCTGCAGTGATTTTCCCTGCTGCAGCAATTTCCCTTTCCACACCATTTTTTTTTTTTGATGCATGCATGCACAGTCAGTCTTGCTTCTAGTCACGACCAAATCGGGTTGTGACTGAAGTCCTGGAATGGATTACAGTCATGACCCGAGATTCCACTGTAATTTGATTCTGATTATTTGTGCCTCATGTGGGAACTCTGGGTTGATTTTTTCAATTACTCATTTGTTTGTCTATTTTTGGCTATCCATAGTTTTCTCAGGAGTCTTCTCCAAAACCAAAGTTCAAAAACAGCTGTCCTTTTTATATCCTACATTCCCCAAGTCCAATTTTCACTTCCATAGGGTGTCACAGGGAAAAGCCCAATTCTGATCTTTGTAGGTGAAGGCATTCCAGCATCTTAATAACTTTTCCAAGGCCACAATTGAGCGCAAAATTCCTGTTGATAAGTGAAACAGTTGTTAAGTGAGTTTTGCCCCATTTTATGATCTTTCTTGCCACAGTTGATGAGTGAATCACTGAAGTTAAGTTAGTGACACAATTGTTAAGAGAATCTAGCTTCTGTATTGACTTTGCTTGTCAGAAGGTTGCAAAAGGTGATCACATGACACTGCAATGGTCATTAATGTGAGCCAAGCATCTGAATTTTTATCATATGACCTTGGGAATGTTGCAATGGTTGTAAGTGTGAAAAATGGTCACTTTTTTCAGTACATTATAATTTCAAACTGTCATTAAACAAAGTTGTTAGTCAAGGCCTATCTGTACAGAATAATAAAATTACAGAGTTGGAAGGGACTTTGGAGGTCTTCTAGTCTAAACTTCTGCTCAAGAAGAATCCTATGCCATTTGAGACAAATAGGGATCTCTTCTTCAATCTCTTCTGCATGTAGCAGAGTTTAATGTGTGGCTAAAGGAGTGGTGTAAAAGGGAAGGATTTGGTTTTATTAGTCAGGATGTCTGCAGCTGGTCCAATGAAAAACTGTACAAAAGAGATGGTTTGCATCCATCAAAGAAAGGGACTGAGTTACTCGGCATTAAATTCACAGATTTCCTGGATAAACATTTAAACTGAACAGTGGGGACAGAGAATTAATGGATTCAGAACATTTCTGTCCCCAGCAACCTAAAACTAATAAGGATAGCAGTGATGTTTGTGCAGGTAAGATTATCAACCTTGTTGCCAACCAAAACCAAGCATTTAATAGTGAGTGCCATACCATGTGCACTAATCAAACAGGTGGCAAGAAAGTAGGGGCAGGCAGGCACAACACAGGTTATGTAGACAGTAAACACAGTGTCAGACATAAAGATCTCAAGTGCCTATATACAAATGCACAAAGTCTGGGGAACAAACAGGGTGAACTTGAACTACGAATACATGAAGGTAAATATTATATAGTTGGAATAACAGAAGCTTGGTGGGATGAAACCTATGACTGGAACATACTGGTAGAAGGATACAAACTATTCAAAAAAAACCCAGACCCCATAAAAGAGGAGGTGGAGTTGCACTGTATGTAAAGGACCACTATATTGCTACAGAAATGCATGAAACCAAAGATGAAAACCACCTAGAATGCATATGGGTCAATATAAAAGAAAAAAAGAATGACATGGCCATAGGTGTATATTATAGGCCACCCAATCAAGCAGTAAATATAGATGTCCTTTTTGCCAGCCAACTAACAAACATATGCAGGAAACACATAACAATATGGGAGAGTTCAATTATCCTGATATCAATTGGAAAACTAATTCTGCACCAAGTGAGAAATCAAATAAGTTCCTAACCAACCTAGCTGACAACTTTGTTGTCCAAAAGGTAGAGGGTGAAACTAGAGGGACAGCCATACTGGACTTAATTCTTACAAACAGAGAAGAAGTGATAGAGGGAGTTGAAACTGCAGGAACCTTGGGTAAGAGTGACCATGTCATACTAGAATTCAACATAACACAAACACAAGCAACAGAACATAATGACACCAGAGTCTTGGATTTTAAAAGAGCTGATTTCAATAAACTCGGAGAGAACTTGGGAAAGATTCCATGGATGAAAATCCTAAAGGGGAAAACAACTCAAGAATCTTGGGAAACTCTAAAAAGTATGTTCATAGAAGCCCAGACCAGCACAATACCACTGAGAAAGAAAAACAAGAAATCCAAGAAGAAACCAGCATGCCTGCACAAAGATCTCTCTGGCAAATTGAAAGAAAAAAAGGACAAGTACAAAAAATGGAAGTCAGCACAAGTTTGTTAAAAGCAGACCATGCCAAACCAATCTTATTTCATTCTTCAACACAGTGACTAAATTAGTAGGCCAGCAAAATACTGTGGACATAATATATTTAGATTTCAGCAAGGCATTCGACAAAGTAGACCACAACCTACTTCTTAGTAAGCTAGAAAAAATGGAATAAATAGCACCACCACTAGATGGATTCGCAACTGGCTGGCAAACCATACTCAACAAGTAGTCCTTAATGGGTCTAAGTCTACATGGAGGGAAGTAAGCAGTGGGGTGCCACAAGGTTCCATCTTAGGCCCAGTACTCTTCAATATCTTCATTAACGACTTAGATGAGGGAATAGAAGGGGAACTTACCAGATGGCAGGAATAGCTAACTGGCAGGAATAGCTAACTCCCAAGAAGATAGGCTCAAGATCCAGATGGATCTTGACAGACTAGAACACTGGGCCATATCTAATAAAATGAAATTCAATGTAGAGAAAAGTAAAGTCCTATACTTCGGCAAGAAAAACCAAAAGTAAACATATAGACTGGGTGAAACCAGGCTCAATAGCAGTAACTGTGAGAGGGATCTTGGAGCCTTAGTGGACAACCAGCTAAATATGAGCCAGCAGAGTGCAGCAGCAGCCAAAAAAAGCTAATGCAATCCTAAATTGTATTAACAGAGGGATACAGTCAAGATCAAGGGAAGTACTAATACTACTCTATAAAGCCTTAGTAAGACCACACCTAGAGTACTGCATCCAGTTTTGTTCACCACATTATAAAAAAGATGTTGAGTCTCTGGAAAAAGTACAGAGAAGAGCAACCAGGATGATTAGGGGACTGGAGGCTAAAACATACATTGAATGGTTGCAGGAACTGGGCTTGGCTAGTCTAGTGAAGAGAAGGACCAGGGGAGACATGATAGCAGTCTTCCAATATTTGAGGGGCTGCCACAGAGAGGAAGGGGTCAAGCTATTTTCTAAAGCACCTGTAGGCCAGACAAGGAATAATGGATGGAAACTGAACAAGGAGAGATTTAACCTGGAAATAAGGAGAAACTTTCTGACAGTGAGAAAAATTAACCAATGGAACAGCTTGCCCTCAGAAGTTGTGGGAGCGCCATCACTTGAGACCTTCAAGAAGAGATTGGACTGCCCTTTGTCAGAAATGGTGTAAGGTCTCCCGCTTGGGCGGGGGGTTGGACTAGATGACCTACAAGGTCCCTTCCAACTCTGATTATCTGTTAAATCTGTTCTTAAAAACTACTAGTGTTGGAGACCAACAACTTCTGGAAGCAAGTCATTCCACTGATTAATTGTTCTAACTATCAGGAAATTCTCCTTAGTTCTAGATTGGTTCTCTCCTTGATTAGTTTCCATACATTGCTTCTTGCCCTGCCTTTGGATGCTCTGGAGAATAGGTTGACCCCACTCTTCTTTGTGGCAGCCCCTTAGATATTGCAACATTGCTATTACCCAAAGCCCTTCTTTTCATTAAACTAGACACATCCAATTCCTGCAACCACTTTTCATATATTTTAGCCTCGAGCATAGGCTACAGCATATTTCTTTTTTGACCATTGTTTCATTTACTGTTAATAGTTGGTCCTAAAAGGCAGGAGCTATCCATCAGTACACTATCTTCTTCACTGTCACTTCTAAGAATGGTTACCACACACCTCACTACTATTTTTAACATTTTCTTTATATTTAAACTTAGCCTAATTTTTTCACTTTCTCTATGACTTTTGTTACCTATAGCCTTCTCTCAGCCAACCTGAAAACAAGCAGCTTGTTTTATTTTATTGTGTTCTCTCTGGACTTTGTTTTTCTGATTTGTGACTTGATTTCACATGAGGACAATGAGATGTTCTGGATAGTTCATTTTTCAAAGCACAATCCATCAAAGGTCTTTAATGATCAATGAAGTACATATTGACTTTCTGATATTCTTTGGCTTTCTCAGTTGTTCACTGTTCATCAGCAATAATGTTACTGCTCCTTGGTCTTTTCTAAAATCAGCTTGGGCATCCCCCTTTCACAAGACTGAGTTGGATGGTCCTAAGCATTATTTTACAGGCATGGAAAATTAATAATATTTTGTGATACTTTGCACACTCTGTTAACCCTCCTAAGTAAACTCATATCTTTCCAACGGCTGGCTAGATTTGCTATATGGTTAGAAGTTTTAAGATTTGCCATGTTTCTGCAGATATTCTGTTGATTCCTGCAACTTTCAGATTGATAATAAAAGAATGCTGATCTAATCTTATCTTCTAGTATATTATGGATTCTTACAATTTGTGAATATCTCCAATATCTTCTTGGATTTTAACTTAATGTCAGGATGCACCTTTCATCTTTGTCTGATCTTCTTCAGTTACTATCTGCACATTTACATCATTTTGTATATTAGTTAAGGTTGGAATCTCTTTGTAAAGTTCATTTTTCAGATGTTTGCCTTCTTTGGTTATTATTTCTTCTTGGCAATTTCCACCATTTGGTCTGGCATTCAGTTTGCATTCTTTTATTTCTTGGTTTTCCTTTCACAGTGCTTCTTAGCAACATTTCAATTTCATTCCATAATGAAATATCAATGAGATCCAGGACTATCAATGAGATCCAAGACTTCACACTAATTCCTGATGTTCTTCATGCAAATGGCGGGTTGATGATCAAAATCATATTGCAAAATCTGTTTAGCTTTGTTTCACTGATTTAGTTTGGCTTGCAGTTTACACATAATCTGTTCCACAATCATCCCTTAGCCATTTCTTTGCAATAACTGAGCTCTTCCATCTCCTTGTACCAATAATATGGTCAATTTGATTTCTGTGTACTCCATCTGGTAATGTTTTGGTTGCTGGAAGACTGCATTATAACAACTAGAAATTAAGAAATCATTGGATTAACAGAAATTGGTAAATCATATCCTACTTCATTTCAGTTTTCTAGGCCATAATTTTCTTGCATTATTTCCAACTTTGATGCTGCAGTCTTCAGTCACAAACAACACATCTTGTTTTCATATTATATTGGTTTCAGATTGACTTTAACTATAAAAATGGTCAACTTTTTCTTCTTTTTGCATCAGTGGTTGGAGCATAAACTTTGCTAATAATTATATTAAGTGGTTGCCCATAAAGCCCAATTAATATTATTTGGTCATTGATTGCATTATAGCCAAGTATTGTTTCTAATGTAACAATAATGTTCCTTCCTATGCTATACCCTTTTTATGCTACTTTCATCCTGACTATAAAATCAGTGCCATTCCTTCTTGTGATATTGTGTATTGAATGATGTACAGGATGATCTTCTGACTGAATGGCTCCAATTTATGTCCACTTCAATTTGATGATACTTAATATGTCAAGGAGTTGTTGATTCGTTTCATTTTTCACTGTGCTGAGCTTTTGTTGTTCATGCTTCTTGCATTCCATGAATCCATTGTAATTTTGTTTTGCAATTCCAGTTGTTCTTTTTCTTCATGGTAACATTAAGTACGAGGCTCCCAAATGCTTTAATCTAGCTATGTAATAATCACGAAATATCCTCAGCTCTATCTCAGTAATATGTTGAGTATTATCTGATCACAGAGGCCTATCTACTAACACTACATCTTCAGTCGCTTTATATTTTCTATTCATGTGATTTTACTGGGAGAATAATGGAGTGGTTTACAATGCCTTTTCCTATGCAGTATGAAATGGTCCCTTGGCAATTCTCCTTAAGTGATCATCTACTTCCAGCATCTTCCTATATATATTGCAGATCCCCATTGGTGCATATTTGCTTTGGCTGGGCAGCTGGGATGATCTTCACACCTTGGTTGACCATGCTGGAATTATATACTTCTGGTAGATACTCCTGAGATTGTTTAGTCATCCCTGTTAGGAACATATCCCCACTATGATGAAGCAGCCCAGCTGGCTGTTTAGGGAAAGAAAAACAAAACAAATGATTTCCTGTTAAATTATGTCTGGTCGCTCTTCAGAAATGGCATGTTTGGATAGATGTAACTAACAAGAATAAGTGCTTAGTTTGAAACTCTTATGAATTTTGTTCAAATAAGGGGAAAGTACAAATTACTTTCATTAAACCATTATTTCAGATGTATCACAGAATTCACCATTCAGAATGTATATATCGGGTAACAATGGAGAAGCTTTCGTATCACAGTGTTTGTACAGCAGAAGAGTGGAAAAATCTAATGGATTGCAAACTCCCACCACAACTCTGCAGAGATATTGAACAGTATGTTTTTATAGTATATTATTGATATTGAAGTAAACCTTGATATATATTGTGGATGTAGTAAATGTTATTGTTAAAGGGACAAATATTTTAATATGGATGTCTTGCAATCAATTAGGGAAGGAGATTGGATCATTGTGAGGCAATTTAATCCTTTCCTCAAATCTTTTCCTAAGAAATATTCCTTCACGCACATGAACACACACACACACACACACACACACAATTGTCTTCTTATTATTTAAAATGGGTTGAAATATTGTATAAATATCAGTTTCACCTGTCTAGCTTCTTTTTCAATATTGAGATTTCATTTCAGTCTATATATCACTAGGAAATAAATGACAAGAAAACTGTTGATAACTACTTCACTTATTATTGTTATGATTGGCAGATAATGCCTCAAGTGTATGTTCTTATATATATATATAATATATATAATATATAATATAAATTATATAATATGCAGATGCTCAGATATGCTGGGAGTATCCCATGGTTCCATAATAACCATGATACGTTAATCATTTGTGTAAGCAGAACAGTTGATTTTAGATCTCTGCTGCACACTATTGTGTTTCTAATGCACCTGGGTATTATTATTAAGTTCAGGGAATGGGAATAGAACATCTGCTACACACAAGAACAATGCAGGGACAAACAGCATCCACACAAATTGCAGCTCTGTCGCTTTGATCCTTAATGTCAGGTTATGGATATTGACATTACAAAATATAACTGAATAACAAGTTAAAATATAATGTGAAATGTTTGGATTACATTATTTCATTTTACATTGTTTATGACGTATTTATTTATTACCACTTAAATATGGTACACATTTGTTATAATCAAAAGCATATTTTATTATAATTGATTATTGATTATGTACAGTATAATCAAGTTAGTGTCAATCCTTAGTGGCCATCTAGATAGACATGATCTGTCTCCAACTTTGTCCTTTTGGATTTCAGACAATGCATACATTACTATTGTAATTGAATCCATCTGTCTTGTAGCGGTCTTGTGCTCTTCTCTTTCTTTCCACCTCTCCCACATTAAAGGCTTCTCCAAAGAAAAAAGTTTTTGCACGGATCCAAAATACGATCATTTGAGCCAGGTTATTTGCACTTTAACTGAGAACTCTGGATTAACCTGTTTGATAATTGTTTTCTTGACTATTCATTTTAATCAAGATAATGATTGATTATAATAATTATGATATTCATTATTATTACCATAATTTATTCTAATTAAACATTCTGATTTCTAAATATTTATTCATCATACTTTATATTCAGCTTTTGTTTTTCTTTATAAAGCTTGGGAAGTTATGTTTTTCTTTACAATTTTTTGGTGGGATACTCCATAATGGGTTTTCCTTGTGGGTAGTAGATGGTTCTTTAAGTTCTGTTAGGTGTCTTAAAAAGAATACATTTCTTCTCTATTTAGCTAAGGAATTTAGAAATACATTTAAATAGACTTTATTTTTAAACCATTCTTTCAATAAATATTGTCATGGCACTTACATATATTTAATTGGGTCCAAGACACATTCATAATGTGCTTGACGGAAATGGACTTCTTCATCCCTTCCATTCATAGTCTGAAAATGGTACATAAATTATTTGGGAGGTTGGTGATAGATGCTATGAAGGTGCCCCTCTTTGAAGTGCCAATATTCTCTTTTCCCACACAAATGGTCTCATTCATTAAGTTCTAGCAATCCATTTTTGTTTTATTTTATAAAGAACCAAATCCATCAATGCATGAGATGTTACACATTTCTGTATATTTCTGTTAGAAGCCAGTATGAATCAAATATGCATTATTGTTACTTGACAGAAAGGGAGTTTTTTAATATTGAAAAGAAGAAACTCTGATCAATGAAACCAGCTCTGTATATTTATACTTTTAGCAAATATGCAAATAATTTTATTTCTCCTAATTTTATATTTCTTATTTTAACAGATTTCATTTTGACATTGGTCCTTATGAAGATTTTTGGCCAGCAATTTTCATCTATATGGTTCATCAGAGTTGTGGAGCAGGCTGGTATGATCTCTTTTTAAAACTTATACTTTTAAAATATTTTAAAAGAAATATTTGTATTAACTTTTGGAGCTCTAATGTTATTTGATTTGGGCATATGGGATCAAAAAATTCTATTTCCAGTTCTGCTTTATCATTCCTATTCTATTAATGGGTGCATTCTATTTTTCTCTCAGAAAACAGTTCTGAAAAGTCTTCAGTTCTGAAAAATCTTGTATCATATCAAGTTGTGTTTTTAGTTCACAGGAGCAACAGGAGTAAGAATTATTTTCATGTAGAGGCAATGACTAAAGAATATTAGATAAGATGACCTGACTTATGTATATCTTCTTGTGTAGTTGAATGATTAAATTAGTTTGAAACATCAGTCTTTTGGGGGTGGGGGGGGGGGGGAGACTACATTACTTGTGCACCAATAGCTTTCCTCACCTAAATGCCTTCAATTGCTGTGCTGATGGCCATGGTATTTTTGGCTGATGGAAGCTCTGGTTCAAAACCTCTGGAAGACTTTATATTGGGAAAGTCAGGTAGTGTCGCTCAATCAACTGGGATGCAAATATGTTGGATGAAGTCTTGATTAACTTCCTGCCTGGGGCTGCAGAGTGTCTCTGTTCTTGTGTGTCCCATTCTGCTACTGACATTGACAACTGGGAGGCTTATAACCAGAATTCTGTAATCTAGCCCTAGAAGATGGATGAAGAATAATTAAAATTAACAAGGAGACACTCCTTTGGAATGACAAACATGAGTGAGAAAAGTAGCATATGAGATATAAAGACTAATAATGAATAAAGCTAGGGCCTTTGGAAAAAGAGGAAAATAGTTCTACTGCTGAGGTTCTCAATGATATTTTATATTGAGAGTGGAGGAAACTACCTTTTCTCTATTTTTCTCAAAGATGGAAGAATAAAGATAAACATCAAGGTCAGAAAAAATGCACTTACAAATTCAGAGATGTCCAGTTGGACTCTTAATGATAGGGTTGAGCACATTCTTGATTTTCCCAGTAGATGGTATATATGTTCAAAATATTGGGTTTTTTATAGGCTGGGCAGTTAAGCTGCAGCACTGAAATGTCACTATAAAAATAACTTGTCATAGTGATTTTATGTACATAAAAAGCCAATTAATAGTTTGCAAAGCTTGCAATCAATTGCACCCTAAATGTTATACATTTAAACACATTAGACATGATCCAGTAGTTCAAGATCATGTTTGGGAACTCTGATACACACATGGATGGATTTCTGAATGAGAGAATGTAAAAATGCTCCTAAAATGTTTGAAGAGGTGCAGAGAGAAGTTACATTTCCCCCTGATAATTTGGAGAAAAACAGAAATCTTTGAAGATCTATTAATTATACACTAAGATTATTTCTCTAAGAAATGAAATGCATTATGTCTATATTAGCACATTAAATCATCATTTGATTGTATCTGACATTTAAAGATACATCTTTGTACAGCTCAAAGCAGTGGGTATATCAAGTGATATCCTTTAATGAATTAAAAATTGACTTTCTGCTTGCAGAATCATTTTTAACCTGGTAGATATCTTTGTTAAGTAGAATGAAAGTGATTTTCATAGATCAGAGCTTCTCCCTTCAGATCCCTACTGCATTCCATGATGATCTGAAGGTTCTCCCAATCTGTTGGAGCAGATTCTAATGCAGCACAGATGTCAATGGAGAAAGGAGAAACCCCTTTCTCTTCAATAGATGAAGGCACTTGCTGGGTCAAAAGCTCTTCGGAAAACATAAGTTTACAGCTGGTTCTTCTTCACTATTTCTGTACATAACATTTCCAGATTTCCTATTCCAACATAGACATCCATGACATCCTAGAGCTGAGCTGTTTTTGTAAGCCCAGAGAGATGTTTTCACACAGTGCATGTCCATAAGATTTTCTGTTATTTACCAGTTCCATTTGAATTACATTACTACATCAATGAAGTTTCCTGGTCATGAATGTGAAATGAGTTCTTAGAATTGAAAACAACATTTTCAAGTTCAAAACTTCATTTTGAAGGCAGACCAACATATTTCTTTTTTAAAATTATTTTTTATTAAAGAGATATTTTACAAAGTAAAAACAATATAAAATTAAAGAAAAAGCAAAACAAAGAAAAATAAAAGAAAACACCATATTTTTTACCACACTGTAGAGATTCTGTTTGGTTTGGTTGCTAGCATATTCACTGTGGAGCTGATTCTTTCTGCTTTAACTTTATCTTTTTATTATCAATGTATTTAATGATCACCATAGCTTATTATAAAGTGATCCTTTTTCCCCAAAAGGATAAAGTAGTATTGTATGCAATAACCTGTAGGTGTTCACCTTAGCCAAGATATTGTTTTACCTATAATTTTCTTACCTGGATTTCTCAAACACATCAGATGCTGCCTATGGTTGATTGAGGCAGGGGTGTCAAACATGCAGCCCACTGCCCAAATATGGCCCACACAGGGCATGCCCACTCCAACTCTGCAAATGCAAAAACAATCCCAATAAATCACATTAAGGCCCACAATGCAATCGGGTTTGACACCCCCAACCTAAAGTGTAGACTCTGCAGAGGGGTCTCAGCAACAATGCAATAAATAGCAGTAGGGTGTAAGGTGAATACATACTAAATGACACAATCAAGTAGCTGACATTGTGTATAGGAACATGCACAGTGTGTTGGCTAGACCCTCCGAAATCCTGATGGGAGATTCCACAAAAAGTCATGGAGAATAATAGGGCTAAGTTTCTATGGAACTTGACATATCCAGAGGGACAGGCAGGTACTAATCAATCAACCAGACATTGTAGTAGTAGATAAGGACCAGAGGAAAGTGATTGATGTAACTGTGCCAAGTAACAGCAACAACAGGAAGAAGTACGAGAAGCTGGAGAAGTACTAAGGCCTGAAGGAGATATCTCTCTATCTCTATTTATCTCTATCTGTATATCATCTATATATCATCTATATCTATATCTACCTAATATATATGTTAATTACACATTCACCTATATGCAGTGCTTATTAATAAAGACTAGATGTTCTTAGATAGTGGCTTAAATTTGAAAGGTCCTTTAAAGGAGTAACCAGAATAAAAACTATGCTAAAATATTGCCTTAAAAGGCTTTCATATTAAAAATATACCTTGTTAAAAAAAAATCTGCAAATTTCCATTTTTTAAAAAATTAGGAAAATGGAAAAAAAAAGAAGAAGTGAAGAATATTCTGCCCTGCCCCTGTTTTCCCCCAGGCTTTCATATACTTAGTATGAATCAGGACAAATGAAGTGAACGGGACAATTCCAGTTTGTGCAGATCTCCATGTGTGCTTCAGAACCCTGCAGAGCTTTTGATTGAGAGAGTTATTTATAGAGTCTTCAGCTCCCCAATATTTTTTTTGATAGTATGGCTATACACATATATACTTCTGTTACTATGTCTTCAGTGCTTATATTCAAAAAAATATAAGGCGTAATTTTTTTTTGCATAAATCGTACTCCACCTGACAGAAACCATATGTGGTCTCTGAGAGGCATGTAATTATCAAGGTCTAAATAAAGCCCACTGGGACTGAGTCTATAGATAGGTTGCACAGATTAAATTATTTCTGCAAGTAGAAATGTTTTTGCATTAGCATTTTTAATTAAACTGAGGATATTGAGAATGAATGTCTCAATAGGTCAGGAATTTATTATACATATGGGACTTTTTTAAAAAAATGTTTAGAACCATCTGCAGTAGTTTACCAAACAGAGGGAGGTGCAGAGAGAAAAACCTTCTTCTGTAGCTCAGATCTGTTCCTGTAGCCACATTACGCAAACTTTCACCCCCTAATTTGCTCTTCCTATCCAAGAACAAACAATATTTGAAATAGAATTCTGATCTGTATCACTTGATCATGCAGTTAGGTTTAAAAAAAAGTTTTCTATAGAAACTTTTAGGAAGCCCATACTTATATAAGAACTGATGAGATGATCAATTCACATCCTTTGTTTTGAGAAAGCTGGGATTCCCCCCCATTGAAGTCCCCCGATTTTGAAAGCTTTAGCGATGGTATCTGAATTTCAGAACTGGAAGAGGAGGTATTTTAATACCACAATCCATCTAATTTTTGAAATTATTATCATAAGTAAAACTGTCTATTAGGAAATGATCGTGCACTTGAAATTCTTTTCCTGTTTATTTTGGCAAGCTACAGGGCTCTAGTTATGAATATCCTCAAAGAAATTGACTTCATTGAAAATATTCAGATGTTTTTCAAATACCATATTAGAATGAATTTATAAACACCCCCCTCTGAAAAGATACATACTTGGAGGATTATCATTTTAGCCTATATATATAGAATAAAAACTCACTTTCTTCTTGAATGTATATAAATATTTAATGAAGTTAATGTGGGAGTTTTGCTTTTTTTGAATGCAGGCATTTAGTTTCTGCACTTTAATTTTCTGTACTTTAAATCAGTGTATATTTTTTAAAAATAACTTGACTTTTACTGTCAGAAAGACCTATAATTTTACCGAAAGGGTTATAGATTCAAAGGTATAATTCTAGTTTTTGCTTACTCTGATTCGGTTAAAAATTTCAGCTTTGATTTAATTGAACATTAAAGTAACCTCTGTTGGTTAATGTAAGCATGCATCCTTGGAAATAAATTCCAGTGACATCAGAAGATGTCTAAATGCATTTAATTGAAGAATTAACTATATAAATAACAATAATATTACCACACACTTAAAATTGTTTGAAAAGATTAATCAAACCAAGTTTTAGCTTTGATTTTTAAAATGTGTTCAAAAGTTAATTCTTAGTTTGAATTGTAAGCATAGTGGCAAGGCAGTTCTCTTTCCTGCGATGTAAGTCTGCCCCATTTTGCACATGCAGGATGAACAGAAGTCGAAAGGCTAACAAGAGAGAAGATGACAGTGCTATGATGTCAGCATTGAGCCTTTATATGGAATCTGATATTATGGAGGAAGGGTAATTAGAGCTTTTAGCCTGGACACAGCTTTGAAGAGATGCAGTATGTGTGTGTACATGTGTCTGTGGGCGGCTGGGTGGGAAAAATGTGAAAATACTATTGGCTGTAGGAACCATATTCTTGAAAAGTAGGGCTCAATCTAGCACTATTACTTGTGACTATCTCTTAAAATGCTTACTCAAGAAAAAAAGAAGGAAAGAAAGGAGTTACTTTCTTTTTCAGGGTTCAAATTTCAGGGTTATAATTGAAAGCTCTGTGGGACTCTGACATGGACATGCAGTTCTGCTGTTCCATTCTCAAAATATTTCAGTGGCACATTCAAAATATTATTCTGTGTAACAAGAGGGAAAAAAAATGGGTTTATTTGTCTTTATTTTGATATCTCTCATACATGTGCACTGAAATTGCTTGGGAGTAAAAAGTATATGTTTGCTTCTTTGGAAAACTGGAGCAAGCATACACAGGCACATTTCTAGTAGATACAGATGGCAAAGTAAAGCATAGGTTCTCAAAACTTCCTTTGTCTTTCACTAGTCCATCTCCCACAAAGGTATAAAAACCAGCCTATTATCATTATACAAGCAAAATAAATGGAGGTGCAAGTTTATTTCCTTGCCTTTTTTTATATAGCATCCAATGTCACCAGTGGTGGGATTCAATTTTTTTAAACTACCGGTTCTGTGGGCGTGGCTTGGTGGGCGTGGCAGGGAAAGGATACTGTAAAATCTCCAGTCAGAGGTTGTATTTGCTGGTTCTCCGAACTACTCAAAATTTCTGCTACCGGTTGTCCAGAACTGTTGAGAACCTGCTGAATACCACCTCTGAATGTCACCTTATCTGTTGATTTGCTGGCTAGTTAGGCATTACTGAACATGACCTAATCTCTGTTATAAATAGTGGCATTTTAAGAGAAATCTGCCATAATTGTTTTCAGCCAAATGAAGAATGCAAGATAATTTATCTGATATAAAAATGGAGAAGTTATATTTTGCATAACGTGTTTCTGAATCATATGAATATATATATATATTTACCATTGTGGTTAGGGTAGAAACTTCTGAATTTATTCTTGAATATGCCTCTACTTCTTTCAGTATAATTTCTTGCCTTGTGCTTGCAGTACAATGGAACTTAATTGGCCCGACTGATGAGAAAATAAATCCATTAAAAATTCCTTTTTTTGTAAAGTTATACTGAAATATATTTTTTTAATGAAGTAATTAGAAGTTTTGATTGAAAGTACACTTTTCCTTCTGAATGCTTCATCTGATTCCTTTTTTTCTTTCAAGTTTTGATATGGAAAAACTATGTCGTTTCACGATGTCTGTAAAGAAGAACTACCGTCGAGTGCCCTATCACAACTGGAAACACGCCATCACAGTTGCACATTGCATGTATGTTATTCTTCAGCACAACCACAGGACTTTCACAGACTTAGAAGTAAGTGTATATTTCCCCCCAACATTATCAAATACAAAGTAGAAGTAAAAGCTGCAGAAACCGTTTTGAAAACAGGACAGGTTTGTTTCAGGCCAGATCTGCTTTTTACAGCTGTAGAAGAATCCCCATCACAATTCCCCCCTCCCCAAATTTTTTTTTTTGCTCTTGGAGCGCAGCCTTTTTTCCACTATGCAAATAAACAGAAATAGTTTACTCATCAAGGGCCTCTTAGGGAAATGTTTTCTCATATAGGGCAACCTGCCACCAAGACTTGCTTTGGGCAGTGTGGCTTTTATTTTTGCTTCTGTGACTATTATCCAAGTGAGAGTTCTGATACTGTCTTGTTCTTACAAACCAGATCTGTTTTACAGGATTAGTCTGTTTTATTTGGGCTTTATAGAAATGTTGACACATTTCTGATGTAAATGAGACTGAGACTTGGTGGTGCAGTGGTTAGAATGCAGTACTCTGCCCACAGCCAGGATTCTATCCTGACCGGCTCAAGGTTGATTCAGTTTTCCATCCTTCTGAGCTCAGTAAAATGAGGACCCAGATCATTGGAGACAATAAGGTGACTCTGCAAACCCCTCAGAGAGTGTTGTAAAGCATTATGGGGTGGTATATTGCTATTGTGAAATGGAAAAAAGGATCCAGATGTTTGGATATCTTTGTAACAAATAAGTTGTCATATCTACAGTGTATTCACTCAACTAGATAAAAGATGAAGAAATATATAGAATGAATGGCTTGGGATAATAAAGAATAACAGCAACAAATTAAGATTAACAGTTGAAACCAATCTAAGTTTTTTTACAAGAGTTTTAAAAATGAATCAACTCCATGAAAGACTGATCTATGATTGTGGGTCTCTTGGTGCTCTCTGTGCTTGGTGGTTTTCTTGCTGGTGTTTCATTACCAAACTAGGTAACATCAGCAATACTAATGAAGTGTGACTATTAACCGAGAAAGACAGGATATGGTCTTGTTTCTAATGATACTTCAAAACAATATGGAAAATACTCTAACAGTTTTTAAGTATTATTCTTTGGAAATGGAGGAAAACAAATGAAGTATAAACTCTCTTAGTTTCAGATGTCAAGCTTAGATTATTAATTGCACTTCTGCGTTCATCCATTGGGAGAATCTTATATTAAATTGATGTAAGGATATTTGTAGTGAGAGATATTGCTAAGAATTTCATGTATCTGATGAAGGATATTATACATCATAATTCCTAGACATAATTCATTGTATTTTTTTCCTCCCCAATCTTATACAAAGTGAAAGTAGACTTTGTTTGTTTATTATTTATTCAGGATACCAGGTTGTTTGCCATAGGTCAGAATCTTGTACCTACTTTCTCTTATAATTGTTCTCTTTCTCCTCTCCCTCTTTGATAAAATGTTACAAATTTTGCCTATTTATTCTGTATTTTTAGAAATATGCTTTTTTTTTTTTTTTGCAATATTAGCCCAATTCCAATTGCAGCCTGCTTTTCCCTACCCACTTTCTCTGGGTTGAAGTAGAGAAAATGGGTTGGTTGACTTCAGAATCCCAGCAGCCGATGCCAGATTTCTGGGGATTGGAGTGATGATCTTTTCAGAAAAAAGAACCCACTGCTGGTGAAGGACTCTGCTTCATTGGACAGCTACTTTATTTTCTTCACCCGAGAGACCGACTAAATGGCTTTAATGAAAAGGAATTAATTCAGCTGCCTTCAGAACAAATAATAATTATGAAATGTTATGTTTTATTACTACACTGAATTAGCACAGTTCTCAGAGTAGATTGCAGGATTTCACTTGTCCCATTAGAAGATGGAGTACAACATCATTTCTTTTGTTCTCAGCAACAGCCAGTTATTTGAGGTGGGAAGTGCACAGGAAAATGCATACCTCTATTCATGCAATTTTTGTCCATTCCTTTTTGGCATATCAGTGCTAATCCTCAAAAGTATTCCATGAAGTTAATTTTATGGTTGTTGTTGGACTGGAGAACTGGGATTCAGCAGAAGCCAGTACATTAAATCAACTTCTCAGTTTAATGATGACCCTCCGGTTATTATAGTACGTCAAGAAGGAAGAGTACCTGAATAATGATAAAGAATAAGGAAGCAACATGAAGATCTAACCAAATAAATTTATTATTTAATCAACTTATAAAAAAAGTCATTGGTTAACAATCATTCGTTCAGCAGCCATTTGAAATTATAATGGTGCTGAATGAATGGCATTTATGACTCCTTGAAGTACCAGCCATCCCAGCACCCTTGAGTTGATATGATCATGATCCAAGTGCTTGGCAACTGGTTCACGCTTATGACAGCTGCATCATCCCACAATACATGATTCCTATTTGCAAGTTTTCCTGAAGATTTTCATAAGTCAATGGGGAAACCTACAGGGAAGATTGCAAGGTGCTCCTTCACTCATACGGCTTCTTTTCTCTTGAGGAACATGGCTACAGACTATGAGATTCCAGGGATCTTCATGGCATGTGGGTCCCTATAGAATTCCCTCCTGCCCACAGTGGCTTCCTGCATACCCTCCCTCCCCTGGCAGCAGCCACCTGTGGCTGTGCCTCACTTTTACTGCAGCATTCACTTTGCACTTGTTGGTCTGCTTCTGGATCTCTTGAGACTTGCAACTTACTGCTGGTTTCTATTTGTTTGAAGCCAGGAGGAGTTGTGAGGAGGTTCTCACTTAATGACCTGTGATCCCCACTTAATGATGGCAAACGGGATCTGCCAGGATTGCCGTTGCTAAGCTGTGCTTTTGCATTGCTGAGCAATGGAAAGTCTAGTCCCCATGATCACTCACGGTTAAGCAATGACTACCTTTTCCTTTACAGCTCTCTCACAATTGCAAATTTAGGGCAGCGCACACAGGATTAAAATTAAGCTAAAACATAAACATGATGAAATAATGACCAAAGACAAGCCAACTCCAATAATAAAATGGATGAAATCCTAGTGACAGGCTCACTTAACCTCCAGACCCTTGGCCTGAGGGAAAATGCAGGTGTTCAATGACATATAAAATGCTAGCAGGGAAATAGTCATGTGTCTCTTGTATTATTAAACCAAGATACAAATATAGCTCAGACACCTGGTGAAGGTCTGGATCTTAGTTCTAGAGTACTTGCAAAATAAACAGAAAATTACATCGTTAATCCATGACTTCTCCCAGGTAGCTAACCTGGGATGATGATGATGATGATGATAATAATAATAATAATAATAATAATAATAATAATAATAATAATAATAATAATAATAATAATAATAATAATAATCTCCTCCTCCTCCTCCTCCTCCTCCTCCTCCTCCTCCTCCTCCTCCTCCTCCTCCTATCTCTTGTCTGATGCAACTGATGATCTGGCTGAGTATAATAAATTCCCTCTTGTTTTTTTTTTAACTTTTTAAAATACATTTTTATTAAAAACTGTTAGCTTATTATAAAATACAGATAGAATAAACTACCTCTTATGGCAGAATGTAACACTTTAGGCTAATTGGCTGGGAATCATTGATATTTATCATGTAGGTTTTTAGTCATCCTATCTCCAAGTGGCTCACAAGCAAAAAGAAAATAGAATAACACGGTACCAATATAATATTTAGGGGGGAAAAGAATTATAAGAAAACCTAAACATATTTTTATCAATGCTGATTATTCATAATTACAGCACCGCCAATCATTCCAGGTACAACTCATTTCCAAATCATGTATTTTATATATTAATGGAATTAGTAAAGTGTCTGGCCTAGTAGAGAGTGACATCTAGTGGTATAAATTTAACTTGAAGATCAACTTCCTATCTGTTTATTTTTCTAGCGAAAAGGTCTTCTTGTCGCCTGTTTATGTCATGACCTGGATCACAGGGGTTATAGCAACAGCTATCTTCAGAAATTTGATCATCCATTGGCAGCACTTTATTCCACCTCAACCATGGAACAGCATCATTTTTCTCAGACAGTGTCTATACTGCAGGTAATTCATTACACTCTATTTTTATGGCTAAGATTTAGAAAACTAGAAGTAGAAAATCTAACTGCAGGAAGTTTGCTTAGATTCTCTATGTGGACATTTCCCCTTTTAATATAGCAAATCTGTTCTGCCTTTAAGATAGTCTATTTATTTCACAATTAAGAACAGGGTATGTTTTTTCTAAAATAAATAAAAAGTGCAAAATTCAAAGTTTGAAACCCAGAGAAAAATATTATGTTAAGGGTCAGGATTTTTTGAATTGAAAATATGATGTATTAAAATTGTAAAACAATCTTAGGAAGACTTCAGGTGGAAAAGAAAGTTTGTCGTCGTTTTCCTATCAAGCTTATATCAGGCAAAATGACATTTAAAAAAAGAAAAAAATCTTCCATTCATCCAAATTCAAAATGGTGATTTCTAATCGTGCCTTAGGTAGGATTTCATGCTTTAGACATGAAAGCCACCTGGATGACTTTGAGCCAATCACTCTCTCTTATCCCATCCACCTCACGGGGTTGTTTTGTGGGAAAATAGGAGGAGGAAAGCATATTATGTATGTTTGCTGCCTTCAGGTATTTATAAAGTAATAAAGGCAGAATTTAAAAAATCTAATAAATATCTACAGGTATCAGAAAGGATGTCATATTGAAAAGAGGGTAGAAATATTTAGAGTTTATTTAGAAGATAGGATAAAATGGAAAAGTGTAATAAGCTGACAGCATTAGGTGGAGAAAGTTGAAATTGTCCTAGATAGAAAGAAATACCACAGCGCATAAATGAACATTTTATCAAGGTTTAGTTTTTGGTTTCAAATGATCCCAACAAGAATTGAATACAAAATTAAATGATTGGCAGAAACAATTAATTATGTGCCATCTAATAAAAAAATCTAGAGTAAAGGTAAAATCTCACAAGATTTTGTAAAGATCAGAATTGACTGGCAATAGCAATTTTATTACTGTGCTGTTGAATAACGGATTTGATGATAGAAACATCTGATTAGCTTGATCCAGAGTCCCAGAGAGGCTCCAGCTGGAGAGCATTAGCTGAGTCAATTACACCAGACTCCAGCTGGGACTGACTAGATCAGCTGGAGAGCACCTATAACTCCTATCAGAGTCAGGGAAAAATTGAAGTCAAAGCCTGCTGATCACCAGTCTACCCCAAAAATGATCCTGTTGGGAGCATCTAGGAATTGATGGCAAACAAGAGGGTGACAAATGATAACATCCCCCTAGCAGTCCCAAGGGTGCTTTTTCTGGAGGCAACTGGACTTTCTTGTTTTTTCTTTGAAGACGTTTAGCTCCTCATTCAAGAAGCTTCTTCAGCTCTGACAGGATAGTGGGGAATGGAAGGATTTATATTCCTTGCAGATAGCTGGTAATCTGCATCCTTTTAGAAGGTTGTTGAAGTGCTTGGAGGTTTATCTGTGTCCTTGGGATCACCTGAGTAGTGCTCCTGGTTCCTGTAGTCTGCAATTTTTTCCTTCTGGAAATCCACTCCTACTCCCACACCATTCAAAGGGTGTTCATCCCAAATTGTATAGCTAAGAGTAGAACAACCCCCTAGTAGAAACCTGTGGTCAGGGATATTTCTATCAAGTGGTGAAATTTGCAGCAGGGTTAGGGTTGGCTCATGACCCTAAGAAGACCAGTTTGTATGCAAGTCAGATGCACAGATTCAACCCAATGGTAGTAAATTACTACCCGAAAAAAGAAGAGTTATACAGGGAGGAATGGAAATCCCTTGGTTACCAGACTGAGGGGAAAAAGAAACTCAAACTGGCTGGCTAGCTTATTTCAACATCAAATTTCTGATAGCCACCCAGGATTGATACAAGAAAAAAAAATATGGAGAAGAAGATAATCAGCTATGTTGTCACAAAGACTAAAAACTGAAAGGAAAATTTACGTTTCTCACCCTTATTAAGAAACTCAGTTGCTAGCAAAGCAGCTGAGATCATATTCCCTATCTGCACACTTGGCAAGTGTTGAAGATGTTGATTTAGAATATTCCCCAGAAAGTGATCTTAGACTGAAAGATAATGGGCCTTAAAATGAACTGAGTTAATTGACGCTAAAGACAGCAAAAACAATTTGGTAGAAAACATTTTTAAGCTTTTCTTCATGTTTATTGTAGTGTTTAAATGGAAATGGAAATCAGAAAGGAAAAGGGAAAGGGGTAAAAGAAAAAAAAAAGAATGACTTTTGTCTCTTGTTGATGCAGGAGAATACAAAATACAGTCAGTTGCCACTCAACTTTTTGCTTTACATTCCTAATAGATACAAACCATTTCTATAGCAACAAAGTTATTTTAGTCATCAAAACCGAAGATCAAATTCCCCTCCCCAACAAAGTCCAAAAGTAATTTCCAGGTGGAAACAAGGTCTTCTGGATAAGGTTTTCTCTTCAGTTAATTTTGTCATCTCTGCCAACTTTGCTTCTCTTCAATTAATTTTGCCATCTCTGCCAACTCCATCACATTTTTCACCCTTTCTTCTATTGTGGGAATTGAGCTGTATTTCCATTTTTGCGCATATATAATAACAAAGCTCAAAATTTTCTTTCAAATTCTTTATAAAATGGTCCTTAAAGGAAAATGTCAGGTTTCAATTTTATATTTAATTTAATAATCTTTTATTTATTTTATTTTATTTTTATTTTATTTTATTTGTCAATCACTTACAAGATAATAGATATAAGTATATACATAGTTGAATACATGAAATGGGTACATATAAGAAAAATAAAAGAAACAACAGGACAGGGATGGTGCGCTTATGCATGCCCCCTACAGACCTCTTAGGAAAGGGGTGAGGTCAATAGTAGACAGTCTAAGGTTAAAGTTTTTGGGGTTTGGGAAGGAAACCATGGAGTCAGGTAGAGTATTCCAGACATTGACCACTCTGTTGCTGAAGTCGTATTTCCTGCAATTAAGTTTGGTGCGGTTAACCTTGAGTTTGTATCTATTGTGTGCTCTTGTGTTGTTATGGTTGAAGCTGAAGTATTCATTGACAGGTAAGTCATTGCAATGTATGATTTTATGTACCTAACTTAGATCAGACCGAAGACGGCATAATTCAAGGTTTTCTAGGTCTAGAATTTCAAGTCTGGTGGCATAAGGTATTCTACAATGAGTAGAGGAGTTGCACTAAACACTCTAATCACACTAATCAATTAAAACAATAAATCAATTAAACCATTAATAAATTATTTTATAGAAATTGATTATCTAATCATTGATATAGGTAATGAGTTAGAAAAGTTGTAAGTTTTGAGGTAATGAATTAATCAGTGTTTGATTAAAGTAATGAGGTAGTATTGAGAGTCTGCAAGGAAAGGGTTAATTGTTTTACTAGTAGCTGTTATTTACTGGGTGGGAGGAATTTATTGCTCTGATGGCTGCTGCTATTATGCTGTAAACAATAGGCTGTAAAAGGATGTTCGAAAGCACGCTGGATTATTGAAAGAGAGCAAAACTCGCTGAATTAAAACACTTTAACTACAATCAATATGTCTCTGAATAAGATTGTTTTCCAATAGTTTCCCAAAGTTCTTCAAGTTGAGTAGTAGTAAAAATACAGTCCAGAAGTTTGGGTTAACCAATCCAATCTGTCCTTTACTTTTAAAATTACTTCTAGCTGCAATATCTTTTTTTCTTTATTAAATCTGATGGTTACTCCCAATCGTTAATTGCAGCTAATTTCCTCCTTTGAGTCCCACTTTCCAAGGAAAATTCCACTGCAGAAATTGGAGTGATTCTTACCAAGACTAAGCACTCTGTTACAAGATCTTTCCTTTCTTTTTCACTTCCGTCTCAGCTGCCTTCCCGGCTTCGATTCAGCCATGCTGGCGGTTCTCTTTTTAGTTTGGATGGAGTGGTTTTCTTCGGGTCAGTCGAGGAGACTCTCCTCTCCTCATGACCACCCAAGCATCCCTCTTCCTTTACCACCCGTCCAGGGTGACTTCTTCAAAACGCTGTCCCAACATTTCTTTGCTTTGTCACAAGTGTACCAGAGATGATAAAACATACTTTCTACTTTCATTTTATTGTGATAACAATAAAAATAACTAGGAACTGGTTTAAGTGTTGTTTTGGTTTTTTGGCTTATGCTCAAAACTTACAACAGACTCATCACATGTTTTCAAAATTCTAAATCTGTTTACCACTTTAAAATGTCCTATGTCCTTAAAGGTTGATGTATATAATTGTTTCTTTGAATGCATATAGGTAAATCCAATGTCTTGTTTTAATAGCTACTCTATAGGCCCAATATAGACTTAAAACAAGGTTTAAATTATTCACAGCAATATCTTTGTATGCTTTACTTTTTTTTCTAGCTGGAAGGCCACAATATTTTCTCTAATTTGAATTCCAATGAGTATGAACAGGTCTTGGAAATTATCCGCAAAGCCATTATTGCTACAGACCTTGCTCTGTACTTTGGAAACCGAAAACAACTGGAAGAGTTACAACAAACAAGATCACTGAATCTTAAAAACCAAGCACACAGGTAAAATACAAGTGAATATGTATGGTTTGAAATCTCAATCATATTTCCTTGTTTTGAAGGCTAAACATTTAGCTTCCTGTATTTGGCTACACAACTAGTCTAATATATAAAACGTTCTGAGGACTGTGCACTAAACCTTCATAAAGGAATCAATCAAGAGTTATTTTATTGTTAGTATATATTCAGCAGTGCATTCAGGAACTTTCTGATAATTTTGAGTTTGGAGTATGGTTGTGCAGTAGTTTAGAATGCAATATTATGGCTAACTCTGCATTCCACTGCCAGGAGTTCGATCTTGACTGGCTCATGGTTGACTCAGCATTTCATCCTTCCAAGGTCAGTAAAAAATGAGGGCCCAGATTGTTGGGGGCAATATGCTGATGTTGTAAATTGCTCAGAGAGTGCTGTAAAGCTCTGAGGAGCGGTATATAAGTCTAAATGCTATTGCTATTTTTATCTGTTCACAGTCTTAGTGCCAAAGACAATCTAAACTTCTTTCTGACAAAGGCAGTAGTTAATCACTGATCTTTCCAATCTCAGGTAGTTCCAACCTTTTAATGTACCTCTTAGACAATGACGTGCTCCACTAAGTACCTACCTTAATTATTACTGAAATTCAATCACACTCTGGACTAAAGAATTTTGAAGTTACCTGAAAGTCTGAGGCTTAGTCATGGGAAAAAGAAGTTGAGAAAGAAAAATTATTTATAGTGCTACAATGTGTATAAGATTGAATTTTATATAAAATTGAAGCATTCTGGAATTAATATGTTTATCTTTTATATTGTACCATTTTATTTTGAAATATGCCACTTGATAACCAAACAGGTTGATTGTATTTATTTGTTAAGGTGTATATAGAGTTGATTCAGGATAATATATTTAATAATAAAATACAGGATGGTAAAGTAAGCATAAATTATATTATGTTGCCTGTTGAGATTTCTTTCTTGTAGACTCTTTGATGGGTCTGGATTACTTTATTCTATACTATTTATTAATGCTCTGTTTTTAAAAATATTTATATATAGCAATTGTCATCAGTGCCACCTCTGTCCATTTTTCCCTTTTAACTGTGCTGATGATGCCCACTATTCAAAATGGAAAATGCTGAATTATTCTTGATAAAAGTAAAAGAGAAAGCAAGACACCCAACAGCAATTCGTATTGCAATTTGGATCAATGCTTTGATAAAGTTAGGTTAGCAAAATGCAACTGCATATATGTATTTCAATCATGAGAATGTCATTGGTTTTACAGATCCACCTCAATTTTTATAGCTTTGCTTGGCATATAACATGGACTGTATAGGTAATTATTTTTAGAGGCTATATAATAGTATAATAAAATATTTTGCATAATACGTTAGATGTACAATAAGAATAAAATTTTAAAGTTCTTCAGAGATCTATAGCTATACAACATCAGATTAGCAAAAATGTGTCAAAGTCAATAAAACATCACACAGGTGAATATGAATCCAAGATTCAAGGATGTTTTATCACACAGTCATTGTTCTCTTATTTAATACTGTTTCATACTGCTTAGGCAATTTTATGCTATAATATATTTGAGTTGGTATGAAACTACAGTAACCAATTTTGTTGCTTTTTTATCTTCCCTTTCGGCAGCTAATGACTAGAGTCTTTTTGGTGGTATGATATGCCTTTGTGGAAGTATTTTTTTCCAAATTATATTTACCAGATGCCTTTATTGTTACCTTCTTGTTCTGAAAAAGCATCTGTTAGGTTCTTGAATGGTTTTAATAGCATTATCTTTAGCACTGAGTATGCTATTATTTATTTTTTCTTTGTGTTTTTTATCTGAACTGATCTGTTTTACCTTTGAATCAAGATTTTTTTCAATATCAATTGTTACTTATAGGATATATTTGAAAAGGCAAATAATTGTTTCAGCTACACAAGTTATTATATTCCAGGGATCGCGTGATTGGCTTGATGATGACATCTTGTGACTTGTGTTCTGTGACAAAATTATGGCATATTACCAGACTGACAGCCAATGATATATACGCAGAGTTTTGGGCTGAGGTTTGTGCATTTATTTCATCATTGATTCATTTCCATATCTATCCGTAGACACTTGAACAGAAAATTAAAATTGATTGGACTATTGGAACTATTGATGTTATTTGTGTATTCCTTTGTTTGTAACTGAGAGATCACCTGGCTCCAAACAACTCTGAGTAGCTTGTATTTTAAAAGCAGGAACAATTAAAAAAAATTAAGAAACTGTTCATAGACACCAAGTGTATCTGCATAAGAACTTAAAGTTTGTCTTCAGAATTCTGCCTTTTCTCTCCATTATTTATTTAATATCTTTAATTTTTATTATTGGGAGCTGAATATTTAAGAAATAAATGAATTTATTTTTCTTTCAGGGTGATGAAATGAAGAAGTTAGGTATTCAACCTATACCTATGATGGACAGAGATAAAAAAGATGAAGTTCCTCAGGGTCAGGTAAGTCTAAAATAGGTTTTGAATAGATTTAATTTGCATATATGTATCCATTATTTAAGTATTGCTATGCTTGCTTTTTTATTGATTTTCATTTTTTAAAAAATAAACCAGAACAATGTAATAAACTCTTCATAATTCTCAATAGACTAAACATTTTATTTATTAATTTTTATGCCACCTATCTCCCCAATAAGGTGACATTTTTTTCATCATTAATGTGCTGATTTGGTGATACTATTAAACAATTAAATGATCCAAATTACTTACCCTTAAAAATAGGGAAAGTAAAAGGAAAGCCTATATTTATTAATTGTGATCAACTAGGTATATCTGGAGTTCTAATATGATGCCTTGTAAAATGCAATGTTAGTTATTGATTTGGTGGTGAATAATATTCACTCTACAAATCCATAGCTATGAAAAAAGAACATTGATAGCTTATTAGCTTCTTAGGCTTAGAAAGAGCTGAAAAGCACTGTGAATCTGTATATAAGTCTAAGTGTTATTGCTATTTATAAAATGTAGAAGAGAATATAGAAGAATATATGACAGTCTTTTAGCAAAGGAACTGTTGCAAATTTTGAGCTGAATAATATTTGACTAATAGTGATTTTTTTATTTTTTTCAAGATTGGGTTCTATAATGCTGTAGCTTTGCCCTGCTATAGTACACTTGCACAGATCCTTCCTCCCACAATGCCACTCCATCGAGCCTGCAGGTAAATATAAATTTGACTTGAATGGTCAACTAAAAGCCCCTAAATAATCTTATTTCTACATATGGAGGGATATTAAATGATTGTTTCTACTTAAAAAAATCTTCAGAACTGTAAAAACTGGAGAAGAGGGATGTACCGTATAGCAGGTGCAACAGACTAATAGAGTTAGAAGGGCTATTTGTTTTAAAAGAGGGCCTCTTAATTTCTTTAATTTTACCAATAGAAGAGAATCTGTATAGCTCAGAGTTGAACTATGGAATATGTGGTGCTCTCTGAGCTTGGATGTTTGCTTGTACATTTTTTCTGGGCATTGAATATGTTACCTAGTCTAGAGAACCAATCTAGAACTAAGGATAAATTTCCTGAAGAACAATTAATCAATGAACAATTTGCTTCCAGAAGTTGCGAATGCTCCAACACTGGAAGTTTTAAAGGAGAGATTGGACAACCATTTGTCTAAAATGGGGTAGCCTTTCCTGCTTGACCAGGGTGTTGAACTACAGGACTTCCAAGGTCCCTTCTAACTCTGTTATTCTGTAACAAAATGTCTGCAAGCAAACAATCAATCGCCAATAATCACTATGTTTTGGGAATTTCTGATTGCTCTTCTTGTTGTTTTAAATTTCTAAATAAAAAACAGCAGTGAATGCATTAATCTACCATCATAGTTTTGTTTAGAGGTTGCAGACAAGATGAAAGGGAAATACTAGGCAAAGAAACTTTGAATGTATGCAACATTAGTAGATTAGTGATTATAAAGCAATGCTGATGACATTTTGTGGCCATAGTAATGAGATTACTATAGCCAGGGGAATAAAGGCACACTTTTTCAACTTGATATTAAACATTCAGTAATTAACAATACAGTTGTCATACTCCTCAAATTGAAAGCCCAGATACGAGAGCTCAATGGTCACAATCTGCCTCTGTGAAAGAGGAGCTTGTATCAGATGAAATCATGACATCCCCTTTTACAACTGTTTTCTGTATACTGATACATCAATAAAATATCTGAAAAGTGAGTAATTTTTCCTCTCTCTCCAGGGAAAATCTCAAACAATGGGAAAAGGTGATACGAGGGGAAGAAGCTTATGGATGGATACCCTCCCAATCCAGTAATTCTGACTCCTTCCCTGTGAAGATTGTTGACTGATCCACATTTAAGGCTTTTTATTCTACAATTTTTAGCCTTTTAAAACTCTGCACATACAAACTTTGGGAAGGCTGAGTGGAAATTTCTTTTCCTCGGTGATACAATGTGAACACAAGATTCAACTATTCAAGCAAAAGTCGGCTTGTAAATATAAAAGACTGGCTTTTTAATGGGCTATTTTGGTGAGGCCTTAATTTCAAAATGATTGGACTGGGAAGGCTAACCTAGGCTTGGTTTTAAATTGTGTCTTTGTGGTAAGGAGGTTTCACTGGTACTTTTACATACTATTACACAATACTGTGATTGGCTTAAATAAGCAGGTTCACCTTGGGAAGTCTAGACTGTAATAGGACATTTCCACACTGATATGGTAAATGTTCTTGTTTGATCTTTGAACTCCAGAAGAAAATCTCTGGGGCAGAAACTGAGTTTACAGTACTTGAATTTATCTTGCTGCAAATGGGAGGTTTAATTTCCAGATCTTAGTCTCCAAAAATTATTTGATTAGCATCATGAAGCAACTACTTTATTGCACCCATTAGACATTGGGAAAAATATATCAGTGTTTCTTTAGTGATTTTGTAATTTAGGGAAAATGTCTATTTCTACCCTGGAAACAGAATATTTACCTCTTGTTGTAAGTATCACATTAGGTACCCGAAGACCCATCTTTTCAATAATAGGTTGAATTTCAAATGTGGTAGTGGAAATCTGTCAGGAAAAGCTAGTCATTGTTTAAACAAATATTAAAGATGGATGCCTCCGATTCCCAGCTAGTTCACAAAAAATAGGACCTTTCGGACATAGTCATAATCTCCAGAAGTCATAATAGCAATAGCACTTAGACTTATATATCGCTTTATAGTCCTCTCAAAGCGGTTTACAGAGTCACATATTGCCCCCAACAATTTGGGTCCTCATTTTACCCACCTCGGAAGGATGGAAGGTTGAGTCAACCTTGAGCCTGGTGGGATTCAACCTGCCAAATTGCAGTAGGAGTAGCTTGCAGTACTGCACTCTAACCACTGTGCCACAGCGTCCTTAGTAGCTTCTGTGTTGCTCATTAGCACCAGGTAGGCTCTGTTCTACCTTTCACTTTGAATCTCAATTTACCCAAAAACCTTTGAAACAAATTGTCTAGTCTTGTAACCTGTTGCCTGTGGAACAAGAAAGCTGATACGTTAAAACCATTGCTCTTACATACTGTGAATGAAGTCTGTATTGATACTGGCCACAATTTTGCACATAATTTCATTATGTGACATATCTGCATATATGTTGGGCTGTACACACTTTGAAAATGTGAAGTAGAGAGAAAGAAATGTTATAAACCTTAGATGAGCAACAGCACCTCTGAAACTAGAATCAGCCTTCCTTGTGAGCTTGAAACAAGTTGTGGCTGCATTAAGTTGAAGAAATTGGCTTCTTAAAGGGGCAATGTCTTTTTTCTCCCAGGCATCCTGAAAAAAGTTAAGTTATTTTAATGGATAGGGGAGAGAAGCTGTGCTCCTAGGAGGCCCAAAAGAGCTTCTTCCAAATTAGCTTTGAACCATGTACAGTCCTAATGTCTATACCTCTTTGCAGAACTATATTTGCAAATATGTTAACCTTAATCTAGTTTTAGACAATGTATCAATAAGCCATGAGGTTTAATCCTAGCACCACTGACCTCAGTGTGAACACCTCTATTGACTTGAATGGAAATCTCCCTCTCTTTCTCTGCCTCTTTGTTTCTCCCTATCTTGGTAGGAGAGTCTTCCTGCTGGAGTAGGCTTCATTCATATACTTGATATAGCATTTAAATGGGTCTATCATATAGGCCTTCTCGGCAAAACCTTACTTACACATCACCATTGTATGCCCGATTCCAACATTATGCTCCAAATGCAGACATGTGTGGGATCCATAAGCTTTCATGCATCATGTGACAATGGTCCAAACATAACTATCAAATGCTAAAAGAGTCAAACGAAAGAAAGTATTGGAAAGCAAATAGTTGATTTTATAAACTGAGGTATGGATCCTAAAATGGAAATACCTGTTTGTTCCTTTTCTGCTTTTCATGCATAAGATTACCATGGCTACCTCTCTGGAATATAATTGTATTTTAGCTGATTAATTATGAACAATATTATACAAGTTATTCTGTGCCAGTTCAATGTCATTTTAATTAATTATTTTATTGGTGTGGATCCAAAGAATCTGGGTTACAACTGAGCACATACAATAGAGATGGGGAAACCTAGTAGCATGGGTGGTGGTGGTGGTAGTTATTTCCACTATTGGAATATTGTTATTTATAAATGTGCACAATCTGGTTAGAAATATAATTGCACAAAAACACTAGGGCTTTTAGCATATGACTAATTTGTAGATTTTAGTTTTGTGCCCCAACAGGTATTTTGAAAGATGTAGGTTCTTGGGGGAAAAAAGCTTTCTCTTGCCTAAGCTTCATGGTATTAAGCTTGCTCACTTTCATCATTATCCAGATATTACTGTGTGACACAACCAAGGAAGTATTAACAAAAGCATACACCAAATATTAATGCATTTGGTTTATCTGAATAACTGTGTGTATGAATACATAATGCACATACACAATATGTGTGTTTGTTGGATAGCACATCATAAGAACTAGCTAGTAGAGTATTAGAAAAGCACTAAGGGAAACGTTTGACATAGCTGACCTGGGGATGTTGGCTTGTCATATGGTAGATTGGTCTGGTTGATTCAGCCTATCGCCCTCTACATATCCTATAGGTTATGTAGCATGTATAGTCCCTATTCCCAGTCATTGCACACGTGACTACATTGTAACGATTATGAAAAAAGGCTGGCCAGACATCAGATTGCCATCAAGCAATCAGCAGAGGTCTTTTACAAATATTTGTTTTTCAGAATGTGAACTAACTTTAATTTACTATATTGATTCTCTTCAGCATCTGTTAACCCCCTTTGGATATTTTCTACACTTAACCATTAACGCTGTCATCCCAGGGTCAGTTCCTAGGATCATAGGATTTTAGCTTCAATTATCTTTAATATTTGTTTTTTGTTCCAGCCCAAAGTCTGTTTCATCAGAACTGAAATATGAAAGTATGTCAAAGATACAATACTGCCAGGAATAAGTTTATGAATGTATTGCATATCTAGTGAAGTATACCAGTAGGTATAACTTTTTAATTGGGACTTTGTTATATGAAAATAAGTTTGTTGTCCCAAGTTATTTTCTTAGTTCAAACTGCAACTTAGGATACTTCTGCATCTTTATTTATTAAATTACCTAAATTATTTTCAGGTTCTCTATGCTGATTATGATTTGTAGAGGTAATATAAAAAATCATACAAGTTATAAGTATTAATGTTGGTGTTGAACAACAACAAAAATAAATTATTGTCTACTTTAGAATCTTGCACCAAGCTGTAACAGATGTGAGAAAAGAAAATCTTAATCTTTTTAAAAATACCATCACAATTTTCTTGGTAAAGAAACTTCACTCTCCCACCTGATCTATTCTCTAGATGAGATCCCCTTATAATTTGATACTCTCAGTAAGAATATAGAGGAAAAACTGTTGACTTCTATTTTTATATTTCTTTTACAAAATGAGAAATGTTTTCTAAGAAACGATTCATGAATTATATGTCCTTAAGATACTATACACAGTTTGGGAGAAGGTGTCTAACCTACACACTTTCCCACTGTTTGGTCATTGTAAGAAATGAACACCATGATCAGTGCAATCATGTAAAAGTTCATTGTAAGTGGATTTCCAGAAGCTGAGTAAAATGTGATAAAGTTCTAAACAACATGTCCATATTGGGCATCTATTTCACTGCTGCGCATATTAAAATTTACCTTATCAGGGGTAAAGCAACTTAAAGCAGATCACAGAAATGACTGTGGTACCTTTATAAAACATAATATACATAATATGGTCAAATATTTTGCTTGGTAGAAATTGCACTGGTATGTTAAAAACTTTTAAGTGGGTAGCAATATTCCACTGTAATTATTGTCTAGTTTGTACTCTGTAGAACTGCTAGAAGAGTACACTACATAATTTTGAAATAAGGGACATAAAATATACAAATCAGTTGGCACATGGCATGCGGTATGGAGCTCAGGGGAACAATGATTCTACATAGATAACCAGAAACATTTTTATTTTCTGGTTAGTATTAGCATGTATGAGTTGTTTGTTCAGCCAGCACTAAAACTATAAATAATAGGTATGTCATTTTCTTTTGAAAAAATGCAGCAGGCCTGCAAAAAATCATAAAGTTCCCATCATCCTGCAGAAATTTGAAATTATGATGTAATTCTCACATTGTGCCACATATACAAGATGACTGCATTTGTTCAGAGAACAGAAATTCCTTTAACTGTTATTTAGAATTTTGCATTATAATTTGATAATCCAATCTAACAAAAACACATCATAATAATTTTATTCTAAATGTTACACTTGCTGACCAAAAACTGTGCTCAGTTAGAACATGAGGGTATACTCAATGCAAGTACTCAAAGCATTTATAATTAGTTTGTGGTAAATTTGATCCATGTATATCCAAGTTATACAGGGAACATACAACTTCAAGGCAACAATATCCACTACAATCAAGGAGTTGGGGAAGAGTGGTATGTGTGTATGTTGATGTATGTGTAAGAAAATACACACACACACACACACACATATGAATGATTGCTGAGAAATCTGTAAAAAGAAATACTCAAGTGCAATAATTTTAAGAGGTCTTAATTTTGCATTTATAAATTATAAATAATGTACCTGGTATGTATTTTTTCATGTATTCATTTGCAGTCTTTGTATTTTAAACAAACCCAAATCTTTATTATGTTTATATAATAGAGCATACAACCATTTATTATGATCCAAGTAAACTGTAAATACATTTGCAAAAAAAGAAAAAAAAACACCAATGGTCAGAATATATGCATATCTGGGGAGCCAATCATGAAATTTATTTCTGCTTTAACAGCTGGCTGTAGTGCAGCAAGGTATCTTCTGTGGATATGTAATTATAAATATATGTATCATATATAAAATATTTAGAGCTGTTCATAATTTTAATTCAATACTTATCTATATATAAATATAGATAAAACAGAAATGTTGTGAATATTATGGAATACAGATTTTTTTTAAAGAAAACCTTTTCATAATTTTCCTTATTGTTATTTATTATTTCTGGTGCTTAATGCAAGCATGGGCCTCTGCAGGGAGGGCAAGGGAGAACATTTTGGACACTCAAATATGTTCACATATACATGTATGTTGATCTACATACAGGGCAAAAAAAAAAAAGAGAACA